ACCTTATTATCAACAACAACTTCCGAGAAACGAGAAACGGAAAATGGAATAAAAATCCTGAAAAAATCTGGAAGTAGTATCTAAGGCGATTTTCAGCCTGGAATGATTATTTATCGGTAAATACCGTGGTTATTCTTTTGGTTGACAACTTTGACAGCCAAGTGTGAAGTCACAGCCCCCCACCACTCAAGAATCTTAACCCAAGGAACTGACCGCTGAAATGATTTGGTTATAGCAATGTAGGATTATGTTTATTATTCCTATTTGTTTTTTCGTTTCAACAATGGTTTGTTGTTTAGGTACAAAAAATGGAGCGGAATCTCTCGTTAGTTTCGTTCATCGAACAGATTTTCTTTGGGGATGATCTAAACCTCGATCTAAGCATGGTGAGTTGCAGTGAGTGAGTGAGTGTATACTTCTCCCATTGTGCCAGGCCACAACACAACTGCAAAATCACAAAACACCAATACCAATTCCCAAAATAATAACAATCACATCAAAAAGCTGTAACCAAAAGATTAACCCAAGTCCAAAGCTGGGTTATAAGTGGTAAATACCAAAAGCAAATCAGCTGATATGTGACATCACAACTTCCCCTACTTTGGTTAAAACCGCGACGGCGGAAATGCATTGGTTATAACCAAATAATAATCATTCCAGGCTGAAAATCGCCTCTAAATTTGAAAAAACCGTCAAGACAGTGAAATTTACCTACAGGGATAATACACACTACTACTACAGGATAGCCTATCCTCATAAGGCCTGTGTGGAACAAATCTGAAGGCCCCCGCCAAGCCAAATCACCAGTTGTAACGTAGGGTGGTTGCACCAAAGGTTATGATTTCGCGGGCTTTTGCTTTATGCATTCTTGGTTTTACTACATCAATTACCATTCTAAAACAATTCTTTTTTAGATCTCGTTTTCATCTTCCTCTTTGCCTATTATGTTAATCAAGATTAAATAATATTTTAATCATAAATTTAAATTCTAAACTACGACCGCTAGTGCAAACAGCTGACGACTTAAGTTATGACGTCGGAAATGGTTACATTCCAATATGGCGGCGATTACCAAAAACCATTCCAAAAACGAGGCCGATAAGCAATCCTTAAAAAACTGGATACAAACAAAGCAATGGGTCCGGATGGCATTCCCGCAATAGTAGGTACTCAAAAATTGCGCCAACGAACTCACCCCAACTTTCGCAAAATTATTCAATTTGTCTTACAGGCAACGAGTATATCCATCATCATGGAAGTCTGCCGCAGTACAACCCATTCCAAAGAAAGGAAAAAAGACAGATCCGTTAAACTATAGACCAATTGCTCTACTTCCGGTGATATCAAAAGTAATGGAAAGAGTTGTGAACAATCACCTAACCAAGTACTTGGCAAAGTACAAAATTATCAACGATAAGCAATACGGATTTCGAAAATATAGGTCAACTGGCGATTTACTTACATACGTCACTCACTTATGGCAAAAAGCGATTGAGTTGCGGGGTGAAACAAGAACAATTGCCTTAGATATATCTAAAGCATTCGACAAAGTTTGGCATGAAAATCTGCTCAACAAGCTCAAAGCAATGGGATTATCGCCGAAACTTTGCACTTGGTTTGAAAGTTACCTAAAGGACAGATCCATTTATGTTGCACTGGATGGCCAGAACTCCAACTCTTACCAAATAAATGCTGGTGTGCCACAGGGAGCAATCCTTTCGCCAACTCTTTTCCTGATTTACATAAATGACCTCATAGATAAAACAGTAAATCCACTTTATTGCTTTGCAGACGATGGCAATGTAGTCTCCTCACTCATACCACCCACAGGTCTTTCCGCACGTGAATTCCACCATCTTAGACTAACTCAAATATCGCAGATAAATAACGACCTGGAGATAATAGAGGACTGGGGTAACAAAAACCTTGTACAGTTCAACGCGCAGAAAACCCAAGCAGCTCATCTGTTTTCAAAAAAGACCAGCACCGGTGAGCCAAACATCATGCTATCTGGAAGTGCTGTCACATTACAGAGTCAGTTGAACATCTTGGGGGTTACTGCAGAGACCAACATGTCTTGGCACAGTCACGTAGCAGATATTGCTAAAAGGGCCTCCCAAAAGCTGGGGGTGCTATTTCGTACAAGACATCTGTACACACCAAGCCAATTGCTGACACTCTACAAAGCCCAGATTCGACCAACTATGGAGTACTGCTCACATATATGGAGTGCAGCACCCAAACATACCTTAATGCTTTTGAATACCGTGCAAAAACGAGCTATCAAGCTGATCAATGATCCCGCACTTACTCGTAACTTGGATGGTCTCGAACATCGCAGATCTGTGGGCGATTTATCTCTCTTCTACAGGTACTATCACGGAAAATGCTCTGAAGAGTTGGCACGTATGATTCCACCGAGAGTAGCACCTACCAGGCGAACCCGTCAAACAGACGGTAACCATGAATTTACCGTCAAACTAGAGGCACCAAGAACCTCATTATATCAGAATTCATATCTCTGGAGAACAGCATCGCTGTGGAATAAACTCCCTGCGACGGTTTTCCCTGCAGGTTACAACCTGAACCGTTTCAAGACCAACATACACCGACATTTCCGCGTACTTGCCGCTTCTCGAGCGTGATAGGGCATTTCCTTGCGAGTGCGCATATCCGTAAAAAAAAAAGTAGTGTGTATTATCCTTGATTTACCTAGCGGCAGAGTTGGTTAGAAAGAGTGCACACTGGCCACACTGGGCATCACCCCGGACATTTTTGAACTAGCGTGAAAGTTAACCGGAGTTTATACCAATTCATTTCCGAACGGCTGGTGTGGATTCGGTGTGACGTCCAGACTGATTTCGAACGCATTCTTAAGTTAGAGATCTTTGATTTATGGCGGGTATTATAAAACCATTTTGACAAATAACTAGAAGTCAATTTCTGGAATGACTTTGAGATGAGTTACCGACAGACTAAGATTCCTAAAGTTAATAGGTCGTCTGGTAAGGGATAACATGATGAAGTAACCTAGGGTGCCTTATGGAAATTTGCATTATGTTGAGGCACCCCAGATGACGTCTTAGAAGTTATCAGACAACCTATATGTACCTTTCTCAGACAACCTTGCCGACAGACCACCGAATATTTGGCCCGCTCTGTTCTGGAAAATTATGCTCGGAAACAGGCTCGGTTCGTTCGGATCAAAATGCTCTAATGAAATGAATACCAACCTTTAAGCCAGGTTGACACGGTCCAAGTGCACTTGGATGAGAACTTGGATCAAGCCAGTTGGCAGCCAGCCTACTTACTTGGATCTTATGACCTATTCAACTGGACTTGGATCCAGGTTGACAAGGTCCAAGTGCACTGAGGTGAGAACTTGGACCAAGTAAGTTGGCAGCCAGCCTACTTACTTGGATGTTAGGACCTATCCAACTAGACTTGGATAACAAGATGAAGATACGATACAAGTATCGTCCCACTGAGGCACGCGCAGTGCCCAACGGTACTTGATCCAAGTTCATTTGGGCCGTGTTAACCTGGCTTAAAGGTTGGTATTCATTTCATTAGAGCATTTTGATCCGAACGAACCGAGCCTGTTTCCGAGCATAATTTTCCAGAACAGAGCGGGCCAAATATTCGGTGGTCTGTCGGCAAGGTTGTCTGAGAAAGGTACATATAGGTTGTCTGATAACTTCTAAGACGTCATCTGGGGTGCCTCAACATAATGCAAATTTCCATAAGGCACCCTAGGTTACTTCTCCACGACTAGAGAAAAAACATCAACATCCACCAACAATGAACAGCATATTATGTACTTCGAAGTTTTATTATTTGGATTTAAATTATTATTTATCTTGACATTTACAATTTACAATTAGGCATTCCAGGTTGACGTCATAACCGATCCGCCATTTTAACTGAGGGGTAAACAAAAGCCAAACATAACCTGATTTAATGTTATTTTCAATGCAAACCGAGAATTTTTGAAGTATTATTTTGAGAAGATGCCTTCGTTTTGTGGCGTTTTTGGGTGCTCCAATAGAGCTGAAAGGGATAAAGTGAGGTTTCTTAGGATTCCAGGGCTGCGTTCAGGAATGGCTACAGCCAAGCCAAAATTGGCATTTTGCGTTCGAGTTCGGCTCCAACCTACGTGGTGCGGCATTACCAGTGGAGGGGGAAAAGTAGGATTTGGCATTAGCATTGCCGTCTTTGAACGCACCCCAGCAGCATTCAAAGATCGAGGGGATCGCATAAACGAGCTATCAAAAAAACAACGGAGGATGTGAATTAGATGCCTCAATAGGGGAAATTTGCCTGTAACGTTGTTAAAAATGCTCGAATTTGTTTTATGACTGTCTTGTTGTTAAAATACAAAAACACTTCATCTCAGTACATCAAAAAAGTTGTTTATGTTTCTACAAGTATATAGGTAACTTTTAATACCTTTTAGGTAGTCCAGCAGAATTTAAGGATACAAACAATCCGGATTGGGTCCCTAGTACAAATTTAGGATACACTACGATAATTGATAGAAGCCCAGAATGAACAAGCCAGTAAGCTAAGCTACATGCCAGATCTGTGCACCGACCAGAACAGTCAAAACGTTTGAGGAGTCATTCTACCACAAACTTATTTTGCTAAAGTTTATTTGTAAGGTTGCTAGTATCAAACTTTTTTATTTTTTAAACAATTTAGATTCTTAAACATTATTTTTGTTAATAAATTGTTTGTTTACTATTGTGGAATTGAAATGTAAAGTGGCATGTCTGTAAATAAAGATTCATTCCATTCATTCACAAAAACTAAAAACAACTTAAAATTTATTGAATAAATCAAAAAACGCAAAAATTCCAAAGCACAAACTCAAAAAACGTAAACAATAATGATCCTGTAGGCTTTGTTTGCCCCTCAGCTAATATGGCGGACCTGTCAAAAGTCACGTGACCTGGAATGCCTAATATCAACCATTCAACCGTGTGCTGCGGATACTGGCGGTTATAATATCCGTGACGTCATTTGATAGATAAACTGACGTTTCGGTACAAACCAATCCTACTCTGCATACCCCAGCGTTTACTTTTGTCTAAAGCCAGAACCAGTTTTCGCTTGGAAAGGCAAAGTTGTGTGTGTGTTTTTAAGTAGTGAAGTAGAAGGGGGATTTTGTTTTGGAGATAAGTGTTTTGTCATTGGCTTGTTTCAGTTGCTCTTGAATTATTTTGTTGATTTGGTTTTGGCATAGAGTCCAAAGTCCGGCAACTAGTTCAAAGTTTATATTATACCTACTTTTTTGTTGGCAGTCCAGTATCTTTTTTTGGTCTAATCTATAAATTTGTTCAATTTTGAGAAAAGATTTCAACTCAAAAGGTCGAAATAATTGATCATGTTTCGCGTGGCCAGAAATTTGATTCAACAACAGGTGAAATCAGAGAAAGCAGTTGTAAGGTACAAAGTATAATTTTCAATATTGGTAAATCAATTCAAATATTTTTCCTTCTACCTATTAGATGTTTGCAAACTTCCACAACTTCAACCGCACAAGCTGCAGTAAAAGAAAAACCAAAAGCTAAGGCGAGCCAAGGAGAAAATTATTCTTTTGTAATGAATCTTTTTAAAGGACAAATCGAGGCTCGTCAAGTGTTTCCTTACCCAAATGTCTTAAATGAAGAACAACGAGAAACCTTGGAAATGCTAGTGGACCCAACACAGAAATTCTTCGCCGAGGTAAATGATCCTATGAAAAATGAAGCACTGGAACGTGTAGAAGAGAATACTTTAGCTGGGTTATGGGACTTGGGAGCGTTTTCACTACAAGTGCCACAAGAATTGGGAGGGCTCGGTTTAACAAACACCCAATATGCTAGATTAGTGGAAATTGTAGGAGGAAATGATTTGGGTGTAGGCATTACGTTGGGTGCACATCAATCTATTGGGTTCAAAGGTATTCTTTTGTATGGAACACCCGAACAAAAGGAGAAGTATTTGCCCAGAGTTTCTAGTGGTACTTTTGCTGCTTTTTGTTTAACGGAACCATCTTCAGGATCAGATGCAGGATCTATCAAGTAAGAATTTTTAAAACCTGCAAGTTTTATTTAATTTTTTCCAAACTGCTGGTCAGTGGTGGCAGAGCTTAGTTTGCTGCTATATGGTTCGAATGGTTTTTCCATTTTATTTGTAGGTTCCTAGGTCTAAGTAAAAACCTAGTAATTTGAAATTATTTGTCATATTGATAGTGTTATTGTTGAAAATTTGCCTTGAACACAGGGAGGTTCTTTTCTGTTTGAAAAGGTCATGTTTTGTGTGAATAGAATCAGGGAAAGCTGATTAATTTAGTAAATTTTATTACTATTATTTATTATTTTTAGATAAATTATGTATGAACTCATTTCTTAAGTGCAGTGTTTTCGAGTAAGTACCTATTTGATTATATTTGAAGGTTTTAGAATTTTAATGGAAATGTGAATTTAGAGTTTTTCAATGCTGTTGATCATTTGTTCATTCAGTTTAAGCTCTGATCATTTCATACTTACCTACTTCTTTCAAATTAGAAATTTTTAAATATTTTAAAGACAAATTCACATAGAACGCATAAAAAAATAAAAATCGGTGGATGAAGCATGTTTAGATTTAAAAAAAAAAAAACGATTTGGTAACTTATAGGTCCCAAAAAAAATTTTTTTTTTTTGTTTTTTGAGAAAGATTCCGGATCCATAGCATTTTAGGTCCACAGAAACCAAGAATTTTTCAATAAAAATTAGAACATTTTTTTAAATGAAACAGAGCAAATCTAAAAAAAAGGTAACAGTTTAGTAAAGGTTTAGTAAAGGAGCTTCACACAAATGTCATGCTTCTTCTTTATAGACAGTTTAGTTTGATCCCAAAATACTATCTTATGATCAAAAATGTTGGCGCATAACTATTTATTAAATATATTTTTTTTTCTTTCACCATAAAATTAAAGGACCAATTCCAAATAATTACCTTTAAGTACTAGTTTAGTAAAGGTCCTTCAAAAAAATATCCTGCTTCTTCTTTATAGATAGTTTAGTTTGATCCCAAAATATTGTTTTATGATGAAAAATGTTGGCGCAAATAACTATAAATTGGATTTTATAAATATTGAATGAATCCTCTTCTCGACCTTTGACACAGATCAATATATAATATCTATTCTTATCAGCTTAATATCACAATCGCTCTGGTTAGCAGATAAAAATTTAATAAACATGAAAAGCATAATGTGGTAGATAAACGAACGGAGAGAAGAGCTAAGTGTTCAAACCATTTTTCGGAAAAAACATTATTGAGTAATGATAAAGCGTATAATACCTATTTAAATGGAAAGAATAATATTCTGTAAAAAATTAAAAACAACTAAAAACATACCTGGGGCCAAATGCAAATTTGCTTTAAACAAACAGAACAATGGCCTATTGATTAACAAGTATGTTTTTCGTTTTTTTTTTTTTTTTGTCAGATGAACTTTTCAGATAATCAGCTCCATCCGCACTTTTTTGAATTGTATTATGAACCAAATAATTATATTCAACAGTGTCGTGGTTAAAAATCGTCTTACTGCGACATACCTATTATTAACCATAGCCCAAATCTTGACTAGTGTCTTTTTTGATCTAGGTATTAATTCAATTCAATGGACATTTGTACGATCTTGTGAAGAAAAGAGACTTCCATTATAAAAGACACAAGCAATTTCCTGGAAGTGAATATCTACTGGGAAAATACAAGTCCTCTCAAAGGGAACTCAAGGCTGCCATGAACCTGGCAAAACAAACATACTTCTCCGATCAATTGAAAAACTCCGATGGCAATAGTAAAAAAATATGGGCAGTACTTAATAGCATCATAAGCAACTCGAGACCGAAAAAAGTAAAAACAACAATACAAGAAATAGAAGACAACAATAAGACCTATACAAATGCCAAAGACATCTCAAACATTTTCAATGAATACTTTTCTAAAATAGGAAGCACACTTGCAGACAGTATCCCTGTAGTACAATATCTGCCTGATGACCCTACACCTGCTTATACAAGTTTCCAATTCCAGACGGTGACTATCGAAATTATTGAAGATATAATTGGGAAACTGAAAAAAAATGCGTCTCCCAGCTTGGACAACTTCAGCACCAATATTCTAAAGGAATTCAAGAACGAGCTGGCTCCTCTTTTGTGCCAACTTACCAATCTTACTTTTGTTACGGGCTGTATTCCCAACCTTCTAAAAAGGGCCAAAGTTGTACCAATTTTTAAAGCAGATGTTATGAGACTCCCGAGCAATTACTGTCCTATCTCAATTCTGCCTGCTCTCTCAAAAATCTTAAGAGTCGTGCATGAATAACCAGTTGGTGAATTATTTTGAATCCTCAAATATATTTTTTAAATACCAGTATGGGTTCAGAAAAGGGTCTAGTACAATATCAGCTGCTGATGTCACATGGGGCGTGCCACAGGGATCGATTTTGGGACCCACTCTGTTCCTTGTTTATATGAACTCCATCTCTAAACTTGACCTAAGCTCCAAGCTATGCCTATATGCTGACGATACATGTCTTCTATACTCTGGAAATGATCACACAGCCCTACAAACGAGTATAAAAGAAGACCTAACAAAAATCCACAACTGGCTTTGCTACCACAAGCTTTCACTGAACATCAACAAATGCAGCTACATGACTATATCAAACAACATCAACTGGCGAAATATAATACTAGACCTGGGTGAATACAAGTTCAAAAAAGAAAAATGTATAAAAGTGTTTGGCTTGCTCATTGATCATAAACTCACTTGGGAATTTCACATTTCAAAAATATGTCAAAAAATTTCCCCAGCGGTAGGAATCCTGGGTAGGGTGTCAAGGTTCCTGTGTCCTCCCCATCGCAAAATGGTCTATCATTCTCTAATCCACTGCCATCTCTCATACCTAACGCTTGTCTGGGGAAATGCAACTGCCAACCACCTGAAACCCCTAAAAGTTCTCCAGAACAGAGCCCTCAAGAAACTTTTTCAATTGCCTACATTGTTTCCGACTGCAGAACTATACAATCCAAATAAAATCATGGACATTAATTCACTTTATATATTTCAAACGTGCACATTTATCCACAACATTCAAATATCAAACATTCATTCCAATGTCACTCTCACCACTGTTAACCAAATCCACCAATACAACACCAGTAACAACCAAACATTGAGGACAGAAGCTACAAGAACCACTAGTGGACAACGCAGCATGATGTCAAAAGGCTTGAACATATACAACAAGATCCCACAAAATGTGAAAGAATGTCGCAGAATAACGCCCTTTCAACAGAGACTCAAAGAACTAGTCTACAGCAACTTTTTCTCTGCATAAATAGAATGACAACAAGGAAAAATTTCCTGATACATTTCTTGTTACTTTTTTGTACGCACTATTGAGATGCACTTACTGTTCTTTTTCTTTTCTTTATCTTTTTTTCTCTTTCTCCTACCTTAAATTTGTTTCAAAACAAAGTCAACATAGATACATTTAGCCTCACGTAGATTTAACATATTATATTAAATGACCCATATAGCCTCGCGCTCTAGGTCTTAAACAACCCCTAAGTTTATATATTGTTTTGTTATATCCTGTGATTTACTTGGAAATAAAAAAAAAAAAATAATAATAATTCATAAGAGAGTTAGGGTGGATTTTTATTTATGGTCCACCTTTTCTATACTACAAAAAAGTCACAAAAGAATTATACTTGCTTAAGTATAGCTATAAAGCAGATAAGTTTTGTGTCTATAGAAGTGATCGTAATTCTTTCACAAGCAAGAAGTTAAGTGGTGGAGGTGTTTTGATATTGATTAAAAAAAGTATTAAATCACTGTGCATCAAAATTGAGGAAAATCGAGTGGAGCAGATTTTTGTTCTGTGCGAGATTAATAAATTCAGGTTTATATTGGGTGGTGTATACATCCCTCCACAATCATCAAGGGATGTTTATGGCTGGCATTGTGAAGCGGTGGAGAATGTTTGGCAGCGGCATTCTGCAGGAAATATCTATATCTTGGGCGACTATAACTAACCTAATGCTGCGTGGACTAATGATGAATTTGGAGCAATTGTGCAATGCCCTCAGGGCGACCCAGCCCTTCAAGTGGCTCAGGTGTTTGGTTATCTTAGACTTTTCCAAATGAATGGCATTCCAAATGATAGAAGTGTATTTTTAGATTTAGTTTTTTCTAATAGTAAAGAGGTTGTTGTCACACATGCCTCTGAGCTGCTTTTAAATGACAGTCATCATCATATTGGGTATGAGTGTGTATTATCGGTGTCCAATACAAAAGAAAGTACCAATTTAACTTATGAAGAATTTTATTACGACTTTAGAAATGCAAACTATAGGGAACTTAATAATTATTTAGCTTCTATTAATTGGCAAGAATATTTAAACATAAGCAATGATGTAAATGCCATAATAAAGATTTTTTATGAGATTTTGGCCACTGGTATTGCATATTTTGTCCCAGTAAAAAAATTTAAAACTTCTACATTTCCCAAATGGTTTTCTTCTGATCTTAGAAAATTGACTTGCCAGAAGAGCCGTGCACACTCTTTTTACATTAGTAACCGCTCAGATGATAATTATGCAAAGTTTTCAGATTTGCGTGTCAAGTGTAAGAGGCTCTCTAATATTTGTTTCTCTAATTACATGCGGGGTTTTGATGAGAGACTGAAAGTTGATCCAAAATCATTTTGGAAATTTATCAATGATAAGCGTTCCACTTATTGTCTTCCAAGCTCACTCTTTTATGGGGGGGAAAGGGCTTCAAATGGGCAGGATGTAGCCAATTTATTTGGGAAATTTTTTCAGACTGTATATGTAGCTAACCAGAACTCTCCAGTTCTACCTGATTTAACATTGGATAATAACGTAAGTAGCAATATTAAGTGCTCAGAAATAAGTAAGTCTGATATTTTCGATCAGATATGCAGTCTTCCCAATAAACTTACATCAGGGCCGGACGGAGTGCCTGATTTCCTCTTGAAAGAGTGTGTTTGCACTATAGTTTTACCATTGTATATCCTTTTTAATAGATCCTTGATTAGTGCTGTGTTCCCGAATGAATGGAAAAAGAGCTATGTTGTTCCTATTTTTATAAGTGGTCAAAGAGAAAATATTGAAAATTATCGTAGTGTTTGTATTCCATCCGCAATACCAAAGCTCTTTGACTGTCTTGTTGGCAAGCAACTGAGCTGGATGTGTAAAGGTTTAATTTCTGTGGAGCGAACTTGGTAGGTTACCAGACAAGCATTGTGCATCATATGGAGGGGCAGAAACAAGTAGACTCTATATATACAGACTTTGCTAAGGCCTTCGATAGGGTGGATCACCGGATACTCTTGCAGAGGTTAACCAAGATTGGTTTTCATTCTCATTTTGTTATGTGGATCCAGAGCTCACTCACTGATCGTATCCAACATGCTAAAGTAGGTTGTTATTTTTCTGAGTCAATCTCTGTTACATCGGGTGTCCCGCAGGGCGGCCACTGTTCTCCTCTTCTCTTTAATATTTTTGTTAATGATATAACTGATTGTTTTATAAACAGTGAGTGTGCAAAATTTGCAGATGATTTGAAATTTTGGAGAACGGTGGAGAGCATTGTGGACCAGTTGCTTCTGCAGGAGGATCTGGATCGCTTGTCCGTGTGGTGTGTAGAAAGTAAGTTATCTCTGAATGTGGATAAATGTTGCTATATTAGTTTTTCAAGGAAAGTAAATAAAATTAAAACTAGTTACTTTATTAACAATCAGTCTCTGAAGTGTGTGTCTAGAGTGAAAGATTTGGGTGTTATTTTAGACGAGAGATTATCTTTTATTGATCACATACATTCGGTTGCAGTAAGGGCTTCGAAGATGTTGGGTTTCGTCGTGAGAAACTGTCAATGCTTCTCTGTGGAGGCTACCAGGGTTGTCTACTGCTCCTTGGTAAGGTCAACATTGGAATATTGCTCTGTGGTGTGGTCACCATATTTTCAGATTCATATGGATTCCTTGGAGAGGGTGCAACATAAATTTCTTAGAGTGTGTGCGTTTAAAAATGGCTTTGCTATGGCTGACCACGACTATAGAGCAATGGAACAACAATTGTCATTGAGTCCTCTGGGCCTTCGTAGAGATAGTTTTGGTGTAGCATTTATATACAAATTAGTACATGGGTTAATTGACTGTCCAAGTCTCCTTTCTTCAGTTAGTTTTAATGTACCCACTAGGGGACTGCGGCAACACCCAACATTTCTCATACCTTTTCACCGAACAACATATGGTGAAAATAATCCTATTGACAGATATATGTCATTAATTAATAACTTAAATATTGATATATTTGATATGACCCTAGGTCAATTAAAAACGTACCTGAAGAATATGTGATATTTTTTGTATAACAGGGTCAATTCTGGTTTGTGTATTATTTGTTGTACCTAATTCAATTTTATGTTTCCATTATCAAGATCAAGATATTTTTCATAATACCTACATACTTTTACTAATACCTACTTACTTAAAAGATTATTTTTGGCTGTACTTGATTTGTTTTATATTATTGTGTAGTATTAATTTTTATAGTTAAATAATATTTATTATTTATGTAGTTATAGTTATAATATAGTACCTAACTTATGCTTTATTCTTTATATTTTTTCTTAAATTGTATTTTAACAGTTAATGGGGTTTTCCCGTAAATAAATAAATAAATAAGTATATAGTATAAAGGCGGGCACAGACATGCAGTGTTTGGCAAATCGCGATTATTCGCTATTTGCCGAGCAGCTCAAAAAATTAATTTATATTCGGCGAGCAAGGTGTACACATGTGGCGTAGTTGCCGAAGGTTGCTCGGTGCGGGAACAACGAATATTTGTACAACTACTTAATGTGAATAGTGAAACATTGGACGCTAAAGACAAAGCAAATCGACACTAAAATTCGTATGAATATGTGTGTCTAGTGCAACGCAAATATTTGTCTCCTTTGACAATATTCGGCAAGTCTCGAATCACAAATTTTTGTTATTCGGCAAGTAGTGATTAGTGTGTATGGGTTGCTCAGGCAAATATTCGCTGTTCGATGTTTTCCCATCGCTTGTCGGTCTTTTGGGCCGAGTCAAAGGAGACAAATATTTGCGTTGCACTAAATACACATATTCGTGCAAATTTTAGTGTCGATTTGCTTTGTCTGTAGCGTCCAATGTTTCACTATCCACATCCGTTGTACAAATATTCGTTGTTCCCGCACCTAGCAACCTTCGCCAAATACGCCACGTGTGTACACCTTGCTCGCCGAATACAAATTAATTTACCGAGCTGCTCGGCAAATAGCAAATAATCGCGATTCGCCAAATACCGCATGTCTGTGCCCGCCTATACGCACTAATCGCTACTTGCCGAGTAGCAAATATTTGTGATTCAAGACTCGCCGAATACCACATGTCTATGCCCGCCTTAAGAGAAATACGAGGAGAAATAGTGGAAATTTGAACACCAAAAACAAGCCGAGTGTAATCCAAGTATGTGGGGAAACTTCCACCAACTCCAGAGAGAGGGTCGTTAAGAAAGGAATAACTGCAACTGTTGCCAAAAAAGAAAACAATTTTTTATAACGATTTATTTTAAAGTCTTAGTTCATCTCAGTTAATATTCAGAATATAGAATGTCTAGCCGGGATGGTTGATGCAAATAATAAACATGCTGTCACAAGTAAATTTAAAAGTTGGCATGAAAAGTAATAATAAGAATAGTTGACAGGGTTCACTGAATCACTGACTACAATAACTATCACACTTCCTGGAATAAATACTTTAAATTAACTTCAGGTTAAAGAAGGATTATAGTCCTTACAATGCTTTATTTCAGTAGTCTATTCTAGAATATTAATATATTTAACGCTTTACAGCAATGTTGGACGAACCCATTGCAATTTTTGTGACTAATAATAATTTCGACTTTCATGTATTTTCAGGTATTTTCCTATTATTTCTGTTTCCTGAATGTTGTTTCTTGTATATTCTGCCTTTCATGAGTGGCCTGTATCTTTTATTTACAAACTCTTTTTTTTTTCTTCTAGGACTAGAGCTGTATTATCACCTGATGGCAAACACTTCATCCTAAATGGATCAAAAATTTGGATCAGTAATGGTGGAATGGCTGAAGTAATGACAGTTTTTGCGCAGACACCTGTGCAAGATCCAAAAACTGGCAAAACTGTCGATAAAGTGACTGCGTTCATTGTTGAAAGGTCTTTTGGAGGGGTTACTAATGGCCCGCCAGAGAAAAAAATGGGTATCAAGTGTTCAAACACTGCCGAGGTATACAACTGAATCATGTTACAATAATATACCTATATATTTGTGTTCTTATTACTAGGTGTATTACGAAAACGTTCCAATTCCCATTGAAAATGTATTAGGCGGTGTCGGAAATGGTTTCAAAGTAGCTATGAACATCCTGAATAATGGCCGATTTGGTATGGCAGCAGCATTATCTGGTACCATGAAAACGTGCATAAAAAAATGTATTGATTTTGCCAACCAAAGAAAGCAATTTGGCCAAATTATTACCAACTTTGGTAGTGTACAGGAAAAAATTGCAAGAATGGCTATGGTTCACTATGTTGCAGAATCAATGGCCTATATGATTTCTGGTAATATGGATTCTGGATCTGAACATTATCATCTTGAAGCAGCCATATCAAAAGTAAGATTTTTCGAATTCCTAGATAATTATTATTCTTATTTGTTGAATCAGTTGGCAAATCATATTCTTGAAAAACTAACAATTTGCAGAGAATCTGGTGACTCTCTCCCACTAATAGGATTATTGTTTTGTGAATATTGTTTTTTTTTCTAGTGCTTTGCATCTGAAGCAGCATGGTATGTCTGTGATGAAGCAATACAAATAATGGGTGGCATGGGCTTTATGAAAGACACAGGATTAGAAAAAATTCTGAGGGATTTGAGGATTTTTAGAATTTTTGAGGGTACCAATGATATCCTCAGACTGTTTGTTGCATTAACAGGTAGGTGGTGATATTTTAATCTATTTCACACCCACAAAATTTGTTTATTTATACACTGTGCACACCTGGAGATCTTAGAACATATTGTATTTTCAGTGTGTAATAAAGTTATTACACTGAACTACTTAGTAAGTAAGGCCTGAGTTATCCAATTCCTCAATTCTTAATATTTGTCCTTAATTCTTAAAAAGTTCAATTTATTTAACATTGGTGTTTTTAAGGATTAAGAATTAGGAACAAAAATTGAGAATTAAGGAATTGGGTAACCCCGGCCTAAGAGAATAAGTACAAGATAAAGTTGACAAAATGTACATTAACCAAGTTTTCAATTCTCATGAGTCTTTAATCAAAAACCCAAAGACCAAAGCAGAAACTATGATCTATTTTTTTCTTCAGTTTCTGTCAATCAAATTTACATTAAAAATTCCACAGGTATACAACATGCAGGAGCACATCTAAAAGAGCTACAAAATGCCTTTAAAAATCCAACAGCCCATCTAGGATTAATATTCGAAGAAGCTTCTAAAAGAGTTGTAAGAAGTGTAGGATTAGGCTCGCCTCCATCAATGGAACCCCATGTCCATGGGGATCTCATACAGCCGGCATCTGAATTAGCTAGAAGTATTGATTCTTTTGGTCAATCCATTGAAATAGTTCTCATCAAATATGGCAAGAGCATAGTGAATGAACAATTTATACTTAACCGAATAGCCAGCGCTGTTTTTGACATTTATGCTAGTGCAGTTGTCTTAAGTAGGGCCAGTGCTGCATTGAGGGAAGGGGGAGAGACAGCTCAACATCAAAAACTGATGGCTGAAGTCTGGACACTTGAGGTAATCACTTTTTACTAATAGGGTTATACAAAATTGACAAAAGTCATTCAGACTATGTATTTTGAAAATTCAGCTGAAAATAATATGAATTAAAAAATTTCCAAATACCAACCACCACCCTATTTTATTATGTTTTAGTTAAGTATGTATATATATTTTTTTCAATTATTTTAGGCTGCTCAAAGAATTTCTAGCAATCTAAAAACTATTGGAAGCGGCAAGAATTTGGATAATTTCACAAAAATGTCATCTATTGCTAAAAATATATGTAAAGCTGAAGGAATTGTACAACTAAACCCCTTAAAATTATAATGTTGTTGTGTTCATCATAAGAGTATATAAATGTTTTACTTGTAAATCAATACGGAATGTTAATTTTTATATAATTAGGATATTAAATTATTAAATAAATGTAAGAAATTAGCAAGTAAATATCTAATAAAATTTTTAATAAAATATTTTTTTAAAGGCATCTCAATTTGTTTTTTGACCTTTACTCTAAAGCAGAATTTGTTGTTTACTCATAATGATAAACCTTGGTGCTTTTTTTGAAATTACATAACTGATAACAGATATTTTTAAATATAAATACAATGAACTAATCATAGACAGGGAACTTCTTCAAATACTTGATTTATTGAATCCTCTTATCATTCAATAGATCAATGCAATTTCCAACTTCTGTAAATAATTTCAATAACAATAAGGCTCTACAATATTATGTAATTACATTATGAGATTCACGACATTGCATTACGACGTATTTTTGGTTCAAAATTGTATTTAAAATCACAAAATGGTCTAAATTTATCACCAATGTGCTTCATTTTGGCTTTTTCTATTGAAGAATCAAATGAGAGAATGTCCAAAATAAGTGTAAAATTGCATTTCAACAATATTTCCTGCGATTATTCACATCTAAAGTAGTCAAGTCTTAAAATTGAAGTCTGCGTTTAATAAAAAAAACAACCCAAACTGGAGGGTAATAGTAATACAGATCCTATTGTAGACGTATTTTTGGTTAAACTACATTTGAAACCACAAAATGGTCTAAATTTGTCCCCAATGTGCCCAATGGCTTGTCTATGGAAATATCAAGAGAAAATGTCCAAAATGAGTAAAAAATTGGATTATTTCAACAACATTTTCTGCAATTTTTCACTTATTTCCAATGAAAATCCATCCAAAGTAGTAGAGTCAGTCCAGCAATTCACAAAGTATATCTTTTAGACTGTGACAAAATCTAATCAAAATATTTTCCATATGGTTTACTTATCTGTTCTTATATTCTTATCTTATATTCTGATTATCAAGCTAATATATACAGATCCTTGACTTTGAGGTATTTTTTGTTCAAAATTGCGTTTAAAACCACAAAATGGTCTAAATTTTCTTCCTTTTGGCTTTTTCTAGTGCAATATCAGAAGAAAATTTCCAAAATGAGTGTAAAATTGCATTTCAAAGACATTTTCTGCGATTTTCAGTTCTTTTCAATAAAAATCTATCCAAAAAAGTCCTTAAGTGTGCGTTTAAAAAAATAAACAACTTAAATTGGAACTGAATAGTCATACAACTAAATAGTCATACAAATCCCTTCGTAGAGGTATTTTTGATTAAATTACATTCAAAACCACAAAATGAGTAAATTAGTCCCCAATGTGCTTCATCTTGGCTTTTTTCGACGATTTTTCAATTTTCTTCAATCAAAATCTATTCGGAAAAATCTTAATAACGTCCTTGAGGTGTGCGTTTGATAAAAAAAAAAACAACCTTAATAGTCATAACAGATCCTTTCGTAGATGTACCTATGTAGTTTTAATTAAAAATTACATTTGAAACCAGAAAATAATACGGTCTAAATTTTAATTTGTCCCCAATATGCTTTCTCTTGGCTTTTTAATATTTCAATACATAGTATCAAAAGAGAATGTCCAAAATGAGTAAAATATTGCATTTCAATAAGATTTTCTACGACTTTTCTCTTTTTCCCAATAAAAATCTATCCTAAGTGTAGCAATTCACAAAGTGAATTTTCTTGACAGTCTGACAAATCTAAGCAGAATATTTTCCCTATTCAAAAATTGCATATTAAACCATGAAAAGGTATATCTACATTTTTCCTAAATTTTCTTCTTTTTGTTTATTTCTTTTTTTGGGAAAATATCCAAAATGAGTGTGAACTTGCATTTCAACAACATTTTCTGAGATTTTTTACATCTTTTCAATGGAAATCTATCTGAATTAGTCTTGAAGTGTGCTTGTTACAAACGAACGATCTTAATTGGGGCTAATAGATTCTTCATGGTTCAAAATTCATTTAAAACAATATTTTAGATTCTATTCCATGAACTCGCTAAGTTGTAATAGACATTTTCTATCAAAAACGTTTCATTGTATATCGCATTGATATAGGTAAGTATTGTATTCATTTGTAATCTTATAACCTAGAGCAGGAAATTTCTTTATATGAACTGACAGTCATGAAACAACATCCCATATTATTTAATTCAAAGGAAAACGATACTTTTCTTTTTTATTCAATCTCATAAAGTAAGAGCGAATATAAGGCTCTTGTGATGTCACACCTATTACCAAACTTTTGGTATTACATACCGTCAAACTGGGTGACTTGAGACGGCCCTATGCTGATTCTGATAGCGAAATGTTGAAACGAGCGATTGAAGAAAGAGTGAATCCTAACGAATATTATGAAAAAAATATGGCATTTCCAGGTGCACCATTCAACGAAAAGTGACTAATCTTAATACAAAAAATCCCGGTGGTCAAATGGTCTTTACAGTGGAATAACAGCAGAGACTTTTAGGAGTTTCTTGCCGTAGGGGCTTCCATCTAATTATGGGAAACGACTTAAAACGTTTAGTAAAGTCGTAAAGACGGACAGGGTGATCAAAAATTCAAGAAAAATAACTTGCCTGGAAAAGATTAGGTCCGGCTTTTTTTGAAGAGACATTTTCAGATTTCAAGCACTCGTTGGTGTGACAATATCAAACCTGCTCGCGCTAGGAGTCAATAGCCACCTTTTAAAAAACGTTTCTTTTGTCTCAAGTGATCCTTTTGGTTTGAAACATGAGCAAAAGCTTGAAAAATATGGTTGTCTCAAGTAACCCAACCCTAGCGTCTGACATGAGACAGTCAAAAAAAAATAAAAAGCCCTGGGTAACTCATTATTCACATAAAACTCAACTTATAAAACCGATTCTACGGGTTAAGACTCAACTTTTGACGTGTTTTAGTCATCGCTAAGTTAAGGCAATTATAAAAATGTAACTGATGGTAGGCATAATTTACCCCCTTTCCTATTTTGCATGTGTACATCTGAACTAGGGTTGCCAGATACTTGAGTTTTGAAACTAGGAGACCCTGTATAAGATTATATGAGATTGGATAATAATATATGAGAATATTTTATGTACAGTGGCGGCCATTGGAGTTAGCACAAATTTTTGAACGCTCTTTGTATAAAGCCAAAGCTGGCACAATTTTGGCATTAACGGTTTGTTAAAAAAGTCAAATCCACAGGTCAAATCGTTGAATGCAATAATTCAAGGAGCATTCAAAAATTTGTACCGAGATTTGTACCAATTCCAATGGCCGCCACTGTACTGCAGTGATCAACTCCGAAAAAGCTCCCATCTTGACAATTAGATATGATTTTTAGCAGATTTTAGAATGTATATTGACTATTGCTGGACATTCTTTTAGATAGTTAGATACTCCTCCTGATCCGTCAGTCTCATTCTCATTTTTTTGTAACAAGTAGTGGACATCAATTACCCCCAACCTTGAGTTCTTCGGTTTTTCGATATTTAAACAAATCCCTGACCCAAAATCGTTTTAAGGTTCGATCTGAAAACGGAAGGAGTTGAAACTATTTTAACTTTATCCGACGTCGGACCGACCTATCACGTGTATGGTAGTCATACCTACATGCAGAGCTGTCAAAGATACTTTTGAAAAGTATCTAGTTACTTACAAGATAAGTTACTTTTGGAAAAAGGATCTGAAGTTACTTCGGGTATTTAGTTACTATGATCTTAAATACGTATCTAAGTTACTTTTTAAGATACATAATAAGATACTTATTAAGATACCAAATTATTATTTCAAAGTAGCAGGCGGAAAAACCGATTAAGCTATGGCTGTTTATTTGTTCCACAGGTTTCGGGTTCAATTTAAAACTTTTAAAACAAAAATTTTTATAGTTCAAAAATCCCAAATTCGAGAAGGGTCAAAATCGCAAGACACTAGAAATTTATCACAGTTACAATCACAAATCATTGCTAAATTTTTATAGAATAGGTATAATGAACAAATCACTAAGATACTTTTTTCTGACAGCTCTGCCTACATGGTTTCTTTTTTTTTTGAGGAAAATATATGAGAAATGGTCTCATATTAAACATAGGGCACTTTCCAAATTTCACCGATAAATTGACCGGTTAAATAAACCGGTAGCTGTCAAAAAATTCCGGTAAAAGTCAGATGCAAGTCCGGTTACAAGATTTTTCTGGTGCATTTTGGAACGCTTTGGTGTCAAAGTTTGGTGGTGTTCCTTATTATTTTTTTGGAATTGTTTTTTTTTGTGGGATACAGTGAGGTTGGTATGTATTTTTATTATTTTTAACAGTCAACAAACGGTAGTTTTCAGTACGATTTTTGTAGATTATGTGAGCTGAGTATTTGATTTGTCGAGTTCATAATGACGACCACGCGCAAACATTTTTTTATTCTGCAATCTGCAAGCAGCAATTTAACGATAGAATGCCAATAGTACCCATTCAAAGCAATTAAATTAATGTACGTCAAAAAAAAGTGTCAAAAAACCTCCAACCGAAAAAACCGACAAAAATTCCCGGTGGATTCGGTGCCTCACCGGTTTCAAACAGCTGATAATTCCGGTCAATTTTGAAACGAACGATCGGGTTCAACCGGTAAAAAGTCGGTAGGTACATTTTGGAACAGTTTGGTGAGTAAACTATTAAACCGGTATCGCACCGGTTCAGAAACCGGTGAATTTTGGAAAGTGCCCATGTTAATATGAGACCCTGCGTTTTTATTCTCATCAAATTTTATCGATGGATCCACCATTCTATGGCCATCATTGTCATTTTCCATTCACTAAACAAAGATAGCTAACTCATCGGTGAGGTCACCGATGAGAATAAAAACGAGGGGAGATATGAGAAACAGTTGAAATATATGAGTCTCATATCAAAAATAGGAGGTCTGGCAACCCTAATCTGAACGCATTCGACTATGTTTATTTTTCGCTGATTCCTACAATATAGAATACCTACACGAAATAAAATCTAAAAATAATTTGGCAACATCAACAGCAGTACCTTATTAAAGAAGAATTTGCTAAGTTTTCAATTATACTTTTTATTAAAGGTACTTACTACAAGTGTTGCATGACAATTTTTAGTATTTTAACACCAACATGTGACAGCTGAATTTTTTCAGATGCGGCCTGTTCTTATGCAGTTTTTTTTTGTCTTTGGAAGCATTTCAATAAAACCTTTCTAGAGTCAAAAGTTCTCCAATTTCGTGGTCAGGCAATATCTAGGAGATTAATCATTTTGCTCTTTTTCTTTGGGCACGATTGTGTAGCATGTAGAGGTGTACAATACCCAAACAAAAAATAAATAAAATACATTTCAACCAATAAAACTATTTACTCAATAACTATTGTACAAATATAATACATTCTTAGAATCCCAGGCATTTTCATCCAGCATATTCTCAAAAATCCACTAATTCGAGAAAGAAAGCCTAATATTCCCTATGTGCTCAAAGGTCTCTCTATCGTCATACTCTGTTGAGGAATCTTATCATCTGTTTGAATATTCATTGATGTATAAATCTCTTTAAGAATCAATAAAACAGTATCTTCAGATTCCCAGTAACATACATGACTCGTCAAAGCAAAAATGTATTCATTAAAAAACTCCAGCGGACCTTCTTGCAATACATAATCAATTCGCCTTCCCTTGTTTAGCCGTCCTAATGGAATATCAGTTTGTTCTTGCACTGGCTCGGGTTCCAATATTTGTTCGTCTCCTTCTACTAGGGTAGTTTCACATTCATTTTCAAATTCTTCTGTCACCTCAGCTCCGGTCCTATGAAACATTGCAAGCTGATAAAATGAATCCCATGTAGTCTTCATTGAGCCAAAGACTTTTTGTTTTAAGTCGGCGCCTACTTTGGCCATTGTTTCTTTGAGTTCTGCAACAATTATATTTACTTAGAAATTATTTCAAATTTAATCATCCTGTATATACTACGTGATTAACGTAGCCCATGCATTGGAAGGTGGATTAGTAGAAATAGCATCTAATCCACCTGCAAGCTATAATGCACGGGCTACGTGAATCACCCTGTATACAAAAGAAATGAGTTAAAGAATAAAAATAAAAATATTATGCTTGCCAAAGTTGGCGGAAATTTTTTACCCCAGAAACTCTGGACTGTTCAAAGTGTCTTTCCCGCCCCTAAGCTTATCAGAAGTCCGCTTCGCGTCGTTCATCTAATTTCTTTTGTGTGCGGGAAAAGATCACTTTGCGCACTTGTTGGGAAAACAACTATTTCTTACCTAAATGCATTCTTTTTCTGCCTTTATGATGTGGAATAAGCACTGGTTTTAGGTTCGCCAATTCTGGATTGACAAGAGCCTCAATTCGATAAGCCACAGGGTCGAATGGATGGAAAATATTGAAAAAGGCAGGGCAAGTTGGCAGCGAAAAATTTTCTCCAAGCTTGTTCAGGCCTCTGACGGTAACAAACATACCAATTGGACTACCAACGGCGAAAAAAGTATCTGGTTTAAAAATTAAATGTGGATAGGAAATCTTGTGCTGTCCTGCAACAACAGATTCCATCAAATAACTGATTCTTCTGGAAGGTTTTTTTTCATCTGGAGCAGTAGTATCTTTATTGGGAAGTTCTGTGTCTTCAGGATGTTGATTCGCCAACAAATCAAAAAGAATTAAAGATCCTAAACTATGACCTCCTAGAGAAACTCCTCCATGAAACGTAGGATTTCTTTGTTTGAATAAATTGTAAACCCGATTCATTTCAAGGCCTACTGTAGAAATGATGGTTTGACAATATAAGGGACTAGTGTAGAACAAAACGTCCAAAATTGTATCATTGGTAAACTCACGCAGTTTTGGAATGCTTTCTAAAGTAATTTTTTTCAATTGCTCATCTACACCAGTCTCTTTAGAATGCAATTTCCCATGCCAACTTATTGGCAAAACCTCCAATCTGTTGATAACACCTTGTTCGCAAGCAGATTTGTAATGGGATTGGGTGAGTTGAAAAGCTATGTTACGAAATTCGTCAACTAGTATGAAATAAATAAAAAAAATAAGTAATTAAGCTATACTCACTATTAATTAGGTCCTTACCAACTTCTTCCACAGTCCTACATTTCAAATCGCACACTGATCCTATTCCATGTACCATAAATAAAAGATGATCCACTTGGTGAGGTTCTCCTTGTTGGATATCAAATCCATCTATGCCTCGTTTTACAACTCTTGGTCTAACCGGATTGGGTGAACTTGCAGGCGAAAACAGTACTAAGACATCAGAAGCATGAAATTGTAAAATATCTCCATTTGCTAAAATCACTTTTTTATGCCACCGATTTGTTTCGCAAGCAATTTTATATTCTTCTTCCAGTTTTGTTGCACTGATTTCGTCATAAGGCACGTACCGTCTATCGCCGGTATTTTTAAAAAACCAAGAACATCGCCGAACTTCAGATACTGTTCCTTCCCAGTAGATTGGTATTTTTTGACGTTGGCGAATATCGACGTCATAACGACCACCGTCTGTTGATATCACTTGATGTGTAGCGTCTATAAAAATAACATTCATTTCAATCTAGGTACTATAAGACTTTTGTAGGATGTAAATACTTACTGGAAGTGAATTTATCTTCTAAAGCAAGAGAATCCGTGGTTGAAAATGGCATCCAAGAGGTTTTATCATCTGTACCAATCGCATAAAACCAGTGATAGTCCACTGACTTATACGATTTACTTGGTGATATCTTAAATTTTTAAAATATATAATTATGATATCATTTTAACCAAGACATTTTTTTACAGGAAAAGGTAGGAAAAAAATGAGGTACAAACGTGAATTGGATTTTTTTTTGCAAAAAACACTAAATTTCCACCATACTAGCTACCAATTTCATTTGAATTAAGGAACTTACTTCGCTCTATTATAATCAATTAGTGTAGATATCATTCATCGCCTTGTTTTTCCAAGATATACTTTTAAGCAATTTGAAATCCAATTTTAAGGTGCCATGCGGCTTTATGTTATAAAACGAATGCCATTAAAAAAAAAGGATTGCTACAATCCTTTATATCATTCATTTCATCCGCAACAACTATACTCGTTGTAACGAGTATAAATAAAAGTGGGAGGAAGAATGAAAAATTTCACTTCGTAAGCACCCTCTAGGTGTGTAGGTATACTCACCGAATTTGTAGGTAAACTAGGAGTATTGGAAGTTTCCGGAAAAACAACTGATTGCGATGTCGTAACTTCACTAGAGCCAGCAGCATCCATGACTAGATCTAATTGTGGCAGAAAAACATTAAAATTATTGTGAGAGCTAAGTATGTACTTGAATAGTAGTAAGTTGGCCTGAGTTAGCCGCTTCAAACCAGTAGGGCGACTGAGAACTAGCAAATAGTCTCGTCTAGCATGTTCAAGAGAGCTACTTTCAATTTTTATACAATAATTGTAATTGTATTTTGAAATATGAACGCTTCTACCTAAAGTTTGACAACCTCTCGTCTTGTCAAAATATGCCTTAAGTTTTTTGATAGGTAAAACGGTTTTTCAAAAAAAAAAAAAAACTGCCAAAATGGTAATCGATATGCAGGTGCGAGAGCTTATTATATGAAACAATGCTTCTACTGTAGGTACCTATACTTCCATTGAATCAATGTTTTAATTGAGCACTTACCATCACGTAGAGAGTGAAAAACAATATTCAGTTAGTAAATTATTGTATGTATGTAGGTAAGTCGTAGCCATATTTTAAATTCCGCCATTTCATAGAACGGATAGCCACTTTATAAACCGCGGCCATATTATAAAATATTCAGTTATTTTTCATTATTTTATAATATGACTGATACTTGTAGCCATTTTTTAAACTGGCCGTTCAAGTGCAAGCCATATCCTCAAGCGAAAATAATTATTTGTTTGTTTTGCATTTCGGCGAATCCTATTTACCTGCAGCCTGCAGATGGATAACCCATCTATAGAAAAATCTTTGTTTTATAATCATTTGAATGAATACTATACGGTTCCGGGTAACTCATAAATTTAAGGTGAGAACTGGTAGGGTACTAAATTGAAGGAAATTCCGTTTAGATTATAAAAAATGTATAAACATATTTTCCAGGGGCCTATGAGAAAATGAGGGTACTTAGTGCAAGAAAGTATGATCGCAATAAAGAGCTGAAGCATATTAAGAATAATGCATGGTATTTAAATAATGTGCTATATTTTTTAAATATAATTAATATAATAAACAAATTGGTTCGTTTGAGTATTGCTTCTGTCTCGTGTTTTTTCTTCGCGCATTCCGCCGTAATGCAAAATCACAGGTATATATTCCTGTTTGAGAATATGGCTCGTACTTGATCCGCCAGTTCATAAAATGGCTAAAAGCACTAGCCATATTACAAAGTAATGCAAAATAAACAAAAAATTTTGTTTGAGGATATGGCTTGTACCTATACTTGAACGGCCAGTTAATAAAATGGCTACAAGTATCAGCCATATTACAAAATAATGCAAAATAAACAAAAAAATTTGTTTGAGGATATGGCTTTTACCTATACTCGAACGGCCAGTTTATAAAATGGCTACAAGTATCAGCCATATTATAAAATAATGAAAAATAACTGATTATTTTACAAATTTGGCACCGTTTTATAAAGTGGCTAGCTGTTTTATGAAATGGTGCAATTTTAAATGTGGCTACGACATACATATTCATTTTACCTGTTTCTTGGTTTTAAAGGTACAATGGGCTAGGCTGTTCAAATTGTAGCATTAAACAGCAGCAATGGAAGCAATAGCATAAAAAATCATCCAATCCTGGTGCAGTTGCAGAAACTCCTTCAATATATATGCTCTCTATCTCCACTATCAAAACGGTAAATAATTGGAAAACACTACCTATTGAGATAAAAATTCGAGTTACTTTCTTGAAGTGCGTTGACGCTGATCGCTTGGGTGATACCGCTAAGAATAAGCCTGCAGCTACTTGAGATGGGGAAATGGTAGATTGTATAACAATGTTTTCTGACGTTTGTTAAAAAAAAATATTTGGGTACAATAATTCACCGAACAAAATATGTTTTATTTAGTTGTAAATCAAACTCACTTCACGGCAAGAAACTCGTAACTTTGAACCTTTCGATCTTGAAAAGCAATAACATCAAAAGTATTTTATGAATTGTTTTCAACTGTTGAAAAAATTTAAATAGACTTTGCACTTTTCTATCAGAGATTTATGGCGCATCGATAAATAAATCCTTGAAGTAAAAATTATTGTAAATAATATAATCAAAAATGTTCCATGATGACGAAGACATTTTAACAAACACTACTCGCGCGTTTAATCTAAGTACATCATGTTCAATTTTTTTTTAATCAAAATTTTGGCAACCCGCAATTTTGTTAATTTGGGAAACCTCTCAGAAGACTATTTGTTCAAGAAGATAACAAGAAAAAACGAGAATCCAAAGTCCCCTTTGCAAGTTAAATTGGTTTGCCAGCTTGATATTTGTCCTATCTCTGCCGGAAACCAAAATTTAGTGTATTATGGCAAAAAGGTTGAGACAAAAATAAGTACGCTCACTTTTTCTTAATGATTCAGATAAATATAATACTTAGGTACTTAATACTTATCTAAATAATTCAATATAGGTCAAATTAGTTAGCTAGGCACTTGAAATTCCTATCGTTTTTAAAAAGTAGAAATACCTATTTTTTCCTTGAATTTGACAAGAAAACTAAGGCAAAGTGCCATTTCAATACTGCTTTTGTCATCATTATTCTTAAGTGGACCATAGAGACATTAGAACCAGTGGATCAAAAATATTTTAATTTTTTTCTAAATCACCAAGGGTTAAAGTCCATTCATAAAGTCTATAGATCTTTTCGAGTGCCTGATCTGAAATTTTGGACGCTGATTAGCCAAAATTAGGGGGTCGACTTGGGCGACCAACGCTCAATTTGAACGATTAACTTAAGGCCTCAAAATCTAGCCAATCAGCGTCCAAAATCTCAGATCACGCACTCGAAAAAGTCTATAGACTTTATAAACGGACTATAGAAACAAACTATAAATGTTTTTATTTTTCATATTTGAAAAAGGATGGACAAAACCGAGGGGTGAATAGCTGACCCAAAATGTGTACACCGACTGCCAAATTCCACAATCTTTAAGGAAATTTGCTAAGATTGTGTACGATTGTGAGTGATTGTGTACGATTGTGAATGATTGCATAAGGATTGTGACTGATTGTGAGCGATTGTGACTGTTTGTGTCACGATTGTGACTGATTCTGTCATGATTGTGAGTGATTGTGACTGATTTTGTCATGATTGTGACTGATTGTGTAAGGCTTGTGAATGATTGTGTAAAGACTATACAGTGACGACATAAAGTCCGTCGCTCCCCCTCTAACTCTCGAACCGCTCGGTATATTGCAACGAAATTTGGAATGATGATATGTGAGCAAATTTTCCATTTTTTGGAAAACAAATGACAGCTTCAGCTGTCAAAATGACAGCTGGGCGCAGTTTTGAACCGTTTTTTTTAAAAGAAAGCGCGTGTCGAGTAATATGTCGTTTTAAAGGTCTCTTTTTTCTTAATTTAATCCCCGATTCTGGAAACATTTGGTTTAGAGGTTTTCAAATGATAACGAAAGAACACGGGGTTGTTTTGGTCATAAACTCTCATAAAAAAAATGTACTCCTAGACAAAATTATCGCACCACTGCACATAAGCATCACATAAGCAGTGGTGCGATAATTTTGTCCAGTAGTATATTTGAAAGAAAAAATATCGGTTTTTTATTTATTATTGCATTTTTTTCAGTAATAAATAATGACGTAATGACATCGGTAACTTAAAAAAAAATACAAAAGTACTTATAAATTAATGATTCAATCACTAAAATATTTTTTTTTTATTAACAAAACAAGCTTTTGTTTTTTCGTCATCATTCGAAAACCGCTAAACCAAATGTTTTCAAAATCGGGGATTAAATTAGGAATAGAGAGACCTTTAAAACGCTATATCACTCGACTCGGCTTTCTATTTAAAAAAAAAAACAGTTCAAAACTGCGCCCAGCTGTCATTTTGACAGCTTGACAGCTGAAGCTGTCATTTGTTTTTCAAAAAATGCAGAATTCGCTCATATATCATCATTCCAAATTTTGTTGCAATATACCGAGCGGTTCAAAAGTTAGAGGTGGGCGACGGACTTTAGTCCTCACTGTATATGTGTTTTCTCACGTGTCAAATGTTTAAAAACGTTTTTAAAACTGGTTTAAAACAATGTCACATGACGTCATAAGTTCTCGGCTCGAGAAAATGGTTTCAAAACGTGGATTGGATTGTATTTCAAAACGGTTCAACAAATTTTGATGACGTCATGGGTTCATCGCAACTATATACAGGGTGTTACAAATTCGCAAGTATGCAGATCTCGATAGTCGATATCCATAATAGATACAGGTTCGGTCAAATTGGGACAAAGTTACACAATTTCTTGCTCACCAAAATGCCGTTTCAAAATCTGGAAAATTCCGGATACTTCCGGAGATATTCGGAAAAAAACGAAATTTTGCATTTTTTTTTTCCTGTGCTTATTTGAAGGGATACCTACTTCAAAATAAATGACACTTCAGCCACTTTTCATCCTCCACAATATGGCGTTATCAAATTTGGAATCCGACGTTTCGTCTTTGGGCCAACATCATCAACTTTATTTTTTTAAATACGGATCTGGATTTTTTATTAGTTTTTGACTTCCTCAATAGAATGGTGTATCAAAACAATCGATAACCCGAACATTTCAATCAAAAAAGTATATAATTTGTATGGAGATACATTGGGTAAATTCGAGGGTAAATTATTTTTGATTGAAAAAGATGAGTATCTCCATACAAATTATATCATACATGTTCATTTTATCGATTGTTTTGATACACCATTCCATTGAAGAAGTCAGCTAGCAAAGAACTACACAAAATGCCAGAGCCGTATTCAAAAAAAATAAAGTTGATGGTGGGGTGGCCCAAAGAACGAACGTCGGATTTCAAATTTGATAGCCATATTGTAGAAAAGAAAAAGTGCCATCGATGAAATGCAATTCATTTCGAAGTTTCTCTTCAAAAATAAGCTCAGGAAAAAATAAAAACGGTTTCGTTTTTTTAGTACCTATCTAGAATTTTCCTGATTTCGAAACGGCATTTTGGTCAGCAAGAAATTGCGTAACCAATTTGACCGAACCTGCAACTCTTTTGGTTATCCAGATCCATATACTTACTCGTGAATTTGTAAATATCCTTTGCCTACTTTTTTTTTTCCTGCAACGTCTAGGTCTGGATTTTTAGGCCATCTGAGGTGAATTCGTTTTGGTTTTCAAGTTAAACTTTTTTAACCTCGTTTTTAACTTTCACGCACAGCAACCACCTGGGCAACCACCTACCTCAATGGCAACCAAACATTTTTGAGGTTGGGCTTATGGATATTCCCCTTAGTATTTCCCTATTCAGAACAATTAGAGATCAGAAATATGTGCTGCAGGTGGCATACAAAAGTAAACTCATCAAACAAGCTTATTGGCTTATTGTTATGGGCGAAAATGAAGCAAATAAAACTATTTGGAGGGACCTCACGTGCGATAGATGGTGGTAGATTGTGTAGCAATTCTGAGAGATCTTGTAACGATTGTGAGATATTGTGAAACGATTGTGGGAGATTGTGACACGATTGTGAGAGATTGTGTGTGATTGTGTAACGATTGTGACAGATTGTGTGAGATTGTGAACGATTGTGATCTGATTGTGAACGATTGTGAGTGATTGTGTGAAGATTGTGAGGAATATGTACACCGACTGCAAGAGCTATTCACCCCTCGGACAAAACATTATGGATATGAATGTAAAAATACTTAGTTGATAATGATAATGTCCTTTATTTACATTGACATGACAAAAAAATATATAAAAAAGTTGTTAGGTTTTGCGAAATTCGACTAGACCATAACTCACTCTTCCCAACATTTAATTTATCTGCCCTATCTTTATGTTCGTTTTTCTGCAAAGTTGTCTATTTTTCCCCAATTTTTGTTATATATGATATAAATATCCATACAGCTGAATTATTTGGGGATAGAGTGAGTGGCCCTAGGCAAGTCTAAAAGTGGAAACATCAAATACCATTCTGTTATCCTTGCCAAGAGTATTTCCAATGTAGGTGATTAATAAACTTTTTTGCTTGCTTCAACTTAGAATTGTTTACTTCAAGATTAAAGGCAGTGATCAGTGAGATCGATAAAAAACTTCAACTAAGTACCCACTTAGGTATTCCAGCAAATGCTTAAATTTAAACTTATTGTGTAAAAATAAAAACTAAAACAATTTAACATTGAAAAAATTGAGAGCATTTACATAAAAGCACGATTTATTCTTATTTTTTTCACATGCAGCAAGTTTTAAATTATTTTGCTTTATAAAAAATGAACATATGTTAGAGATTGATCTAAATTAGAGAAATAATTAACATACAAATTATAAGTATAGTTTAGAGTTGAAAATTATATGTTCAGTAACAAACAACACAACAAACAACTAAATTCTGATTCTAACAAAAATCACAAAACCAAATTATTTTAAAGTGTATTAGAAAAAAAAACGCAATTCTAAAAATACTAATAGGTATATGAAGAAGAATACATCAAAATTAAAAACAATTACAATTGTTATTTGTTAGAGTTGTTTTGTTTCAGTTCTTCTTTTTGCTTTTGCTTTAAACGCATCACTTCCGCATCCCTGCAAAAAAAAAGTACCTGTTATTAAATACTCTCAATAACTATAAAATATATATAAGAAGACTATTCAAGTTGTTTTTTTTTGCATAATTGAAATACATCCAGCAAAACTCCATTCAATACTCATGTGTTTTTGAACGCCTTTCTATTGTAAAGCGATAGTAAAAATATTTAATAACGATAACTTATTGCCTATACACACCAAGAATATAGGTATTTTTTTTTAAAGTGAATTCTTTTAAACAGAAGCCATATCTCCTAGTCAGTGACTCATGTATATTGTACCTAAGTATGCGATTTGTTATATTCTTATTGAGATATTTATGCCTTATTGCATATTTTATTAATTATTTAGGTACCTATTTGTGTGATATTTTTTAGTTTCAGTATTAGCTTAACCTTGTCGATGTTTCCTCGGAATAAAGGCAATAAAGTATGATTAAAATTAAGGGACTGTCTTGGGGAGTTTAATTTCAATAGGGTACACACCCACAATGTCAATAAAACAAATCCATAAAAACAAAATAACGGGCTTTAAAACCCTCTAGGTAACAATATGTCAAAATAATGAGAAAAAGGATATAAACTAGGTACCAAGGTATCTACTCATAGTTTATAATTTGCAATAGCAACTGATTTTTCAATAATTCCACTTTTTCCCATCAGTTCCTAGTTTCATGTGCAGCATCTGAAACTGGTCTTTAGAGGAAGGCAAAGACATTGCAAATATTCCATGAATAACTAGGATTTTTGTAATTTTGTATACTTTTGAAAATATTTCATCCCAGATCAAGATCTTAGTTAAGGATTTGTACTGGTGATTTCCCGGGTAATTTGAATTTGAGTAGGTACTCTTAATAGAAATAAAGATGATTGTTTCTTCAGTTCAGGGGCGTGCGGTCCATGGAAGCGGGGGAAGCACCGCTTCCCTTAACTTTTTGGAGATAAAAAAATAAAAAAAATTACTATTTATTAATTTATAATGCATAGCAATTATCAATAATTTAGTAATTATTTTCTCTCAAACATAACGTAAATGTACTTAAAGCTCATTGGGAAAACGTGAACGCAACCAATTTTTGTAGCAACGCGTCGAGACCGAGCCCGGCCTGAGCTTGGAAGGGCGTATGGAAATCGCTGCAGTTCGCTTTGAAGGGGTTATTGACCCTTTCGGCTCCATACGCGGAGCCGGCGAGCGAAAACGCGCGAATTCAGTGGCCAAGGCAGCGCTCGTTTCGCCGCCTTCCACTTATTTTATTTCGATTTGTATTGAAAATCCGATGCCGCCATTTCGCGAAATCGTAGTGCTGTTTTTCATTGAATTTCTTGAGGTTTTTCGTGGTTGTTTATTCTTTTTCTGCAATGGAGGTGCCATCTACATCTACTGTGACCGTGCCGGTCCCCAATAACAATTTAGACTGTTTGTATTTTTTTTTTTTTTTTTTTTTTACGGATATGCGCACTCGCAAGGAAATGTCCTATCACGCTCGAGAAGCGGCAAGTGCGCGGAAATGTCGGTGTATGTTGGTCTTGAAACGGTTCAGGTTGTAACCTGCAGGGAAAACCGTCGCAGGGAGTTTATTCCACAGCGATGCTGTTCTCCAGAGATATGAATTCTGATATAATGAGGTTCTTGGTGCCTCTAGTTTGACAGTAAATTCATGGTTACCGTCTGTTTGACGGGTTCGCCTGGTAGGCGCTACTCTCGGTGGAATCATACATGCCAACTCTTCAGAGCATTTTCCGTGATAGTACCTGTAGAAGAGAGATAAATCGCCCACAGATCTGCGATGTTCGAGACCATCCAAGTTACGAGTAAGTGCGGGGTCATTGATCAGCTTGATAGCTCGTTTTTGCACGGTGTTCAAAAGCATTAAGGTATGTTTGGGTGCTGCACTCCATATATGTGAGCAGTACTCCATAGTTGGTCGAATCTGGGTTTTGTAGAGTGTCAGCAATTGGCTTGGTGTATACAGATGTCTTGTACGAAATAGCACCCCCAGCTTTTGGGACGCCCTTTTAGCAATATCTGCCACGTGACTGTGCCAAGACATGTTGGTCTCTGCAGTAACCCCCAAGATGTTCAACTGACTCTGTAATGTGACAGCACTTCCAGATAGCATGATGTTTGGCTCACCGGTGCTGGTCTTTTTTGAAAACAGAGCTGCTTGGGTTTTCAGCGCGTTGAACTGTACAAGGTTTTTGTTACCCCAGTCCTCTATTATCTCCAGGTCGTTATTTATCTGCGATATTTGAGTTAGTCTAAGATGATGGAATTCACGTGCGGAAAGACCTGTGGGTGGTATGAGTGAGGAGACTACATTGCCATCGTCTGCAAAGCAATAAAGTGGATTTACTGTTTTAACTATGAGGTCATTTATGTAAATCAGAAAAAGAGTTGGCGAAAGGATTGCTCCCTGTGGCACACCAGCATTTATTTGGTAAGAGTTGGAGTTCTGGCCATCCAGTGCAACATAAATGGATCTGTCCTTTAGGTAACTTTCAAACCAAGTGCAAAGTTTCGGCGATAATCCCATTGCTTTGAGCTTGTTGAGCAGATTTTCATGCCAAACTTTGTCGAATGCTTTAGATATATCTAAGGCAATTGTTCTTGTTTCACCCCGCAACTCAATCGCTTTTTGCCACAAGTGAGTGACGTATGTAAGTAAATCGCCAGTTGACCTATATTTTCGAAATCCGTATTGCTTATCGTTGATAATTTTGTACTTTTCCAAGTACTTGGTTAGGTGATTGTTCACAACTCTTTCCATTACTTTTGATATCACCGGAAGTAGAGCAATTGGTCTATAGTTTAACGGATCTGTCTTTTTTCCTTTCTTTGGAATGGGTTGTACTGCGGCAGACTTCCATGATGATGGATATACTCCATGCCTGTAAGACAAATTGAATAATTTTGCGAAAGTTGGGGTGAGTTCGTTGGCGCAATTTTTGAGTACTATTGCGGGAATGCCATCCGGACCCATTGCTTTGTTTGTATCTAGCTTTTTAAGGGATTTTCGTATTTCTCTGTGACAAAAGGGTACCTCTGGCATACTATGGGAAACCCTTTCAATGAACGGTGGAGTTTTTCCGTTTGGCACTGTTAGGTTGGAGTTGGAGGAAAACATTTGGGCCAGCATATTGGCTTTTTCCTCTGATGTTGTGGCTAAGTGATTATTTTTATCTGTAAGTGGTGGTATGGATGACTTGGTGAAGTTAGATCCAACAGCTTTTGCAAGAGACCAAAAGGACCTAGAACTACTTGGACAATTCAGCAACCTGTTTTTTATTCTATTTTTTTTTATTTATTTCGTTTATTTAGCAATAGCTAATCGTGCAACTTACATATATAAATCCACAAAAGTTATAATTAGTGTATAGTGTCAATTAAAGTAAACAATTTAAAAAAAAAAAAAAAAAACAACGAACAATTCAGAACTATGAAAAGAAACATTAAAGGAGACAAACCGAAACAACATGAAAGACAAAATGTAATTTAAATTCAAAATACAAATGACAATCATTCCGAAAGACATAATAAAACTTGAAATTTCGTAAAAAGCAAGTCCTGAAACTCATACAAAATATGGCATTCGTTTTTCACTTCACAAAATACAAGATCAAGATACTGCAAAACAAAAGAAATTCAAATCAACAAAACCCAGATCAACAAGAATAAGCTACTCATTTGTGCTTTAATCTGGAACATATATATCACATTGAGTCAGCAGATGAACTTTTAATTTTCTTTTGAAATTGCTAATAGTAACACATGACTTTATTTCATCCGGTAGCTGATTAAACTCATTCATACCCTTAAAGAATACCGATCTTGTTGCTGAGGCCCCACATCTATGTGGTATATAGAAGTTTTTTATTCTTTGATTGTATGTTTCTTTAGCGGAGTCAATAGTAATTTTGCAACTATTTCTGGCTTCTATAAATTCTGTGTGGTTTTGAGCGGTTTGTTTTTGTTTCCAAAGGTTATATGCTCTGTGTTTTTTCTGTATAGCCGTTTGACACTGGCTGTTGAACCAAGGTTTTGCATTAGCTCTACGTTTAGTTGTATGTGGGATATATGTGTCCATTCCAGATAAGATTACTTGTGTTATTTCATTACAGCAAATAGTGGGATCAGCTGTTTTAAAGCATTGTGTGCTCTTTAATAAAAAAAGGATTTTCTAGTCGAAACTTTGAAGAGAAAAGGGAAATACCTAATTAATTCGGGTAGGCTAATGGATCCTATTAATTTAGAGACGAAAGTGGAGAAGTCGACAAAGAAATTCACTAGGCATTTTCACGTTAGATTTTATGAGAAATATAAATGGTTACCCGGTTGCAAAATTACAAATGTACCTATGCATAGTTCTAGAAAAGTGAATGACCTTGAAATTTGTGAAAATTTTCGCCTGCGGCGCATTGCAAGGGGTGATAACCTCCTGTAACCCCCCTCTGCTGCTTCCATAACTCTAAAGACCACCGCACGCCACTGCTTCAGTTAGTACTTTTAGTATCTTTATTTTATGAAAAAAACTAATTTTTTCATTTCCACAAATTATTTTATTAAATAGGTAAGTATCTATCTGAACATAAGCATGTTTTGTGTCTTCCAGTATCTAGCTGTAAAAGACACTGCATGGAAACCTATGTTGTGATGATAAAAAAAAAAACTTGTTACTGAAGTAGTGTAGGACCTGTCTTTTTTATCATAAAGCATAATGAATGTTCATCAACCAACAGCCAAAAACTCGATTGAATATAGGTATCCTGCAGGCTGCTGCAGGCACCACATTCTTTAGAATAATAAAATAACCACGATGAAAACAAGAACGTTCCTAATACAAAGTGTAGACCACAAATTTACCTCGCTTTCCTTTGCTCCACCGTAAGGCCATCCGTCTTTTTCCCTTTAACCAAGTCTTGCTGTTTCTTTTGGTTTTTGGCCCTAGCAAGTTCACGTTGATTGCCACCTAGAACCATTTGTTTTTATTTTTTTGCCCACAAATTAAACAGGTACATGCAATAACTTATTATTATTACTTACGAGTCATTTTGGTAAACTTGAGAGGCTAAAATTGGAACGGTACTAAAACTTTAACAAATAGGCTTCCGAAGGCCGCAGCCTTTTTTACAAATCAACGGCTATTGTAACTGAAATAATTCAGGAATGAATGAAGAAAAATGGGAACTTGCCTGCCCCCACTTAAAAATAGCATAAAACACAAACTGTCAAAGGCGTCAAAAGTCAATCCCTCGGAGCGAGTTCAGAGCCGCTTTCGTATGCACATTGGCGCGCTCCAGAGCACCTCGGGGGTTGGGGGGGGGGCGTCAGGGATGTGCGTCTACACCTTAAGCCTAGTCTCCATAGACGCGAAATCGCGGAAAGCGAATTTTTTAAGTGTCATTTTTTGGTGGCTATTTCCGAGCAAATTATTCCCATGTCTCCATAAGCGCGAAATTCGCGTTTTATTTAACAGGTTAAGGTTACCTATGTGTTGTTGTTTGTAATCAATTTGAATTCGATTTAAATGCTTTGAATTTCAAACACTAATCTTTGAAAACCATGAAAGTGATTACTAAAAAATAATTGTCTTGGTGTTGTCTTAATTACATTTAAGGCCCTATTATAATCTTCCTCATCAACCAGCAAGCTGTAATTTATGTCTGTTTTCGGGTCTACAATATTCAATTCTTTGGCAGTATCCATTCTTTATTAGGTATCTACAAGTACAAAACACATCAACGACTCACAGAGAACAGAGCACATACCGACAAAAACATAAACAAAACTAAACTGAAAGTAACACCACATAACCTCATTTTTTTTTGGCGAAATTTCGCGGAAAGTTATAAAATAGTTAACTTTTTTGCGACGCCGCAAGAAGTTAAAAAATTCGCGAATTTTTCCCGCCATAAAAAAATCAAATGTCAAATGTCAAATTCCAACCAATCGGGAAATATCCGCAAAAAAAAATTCGCGATTTCGCGTCCATGGAGACTAGGCTTTAGGTCTACACGTATTAATGACATAAGCACGTCGCAATGTTGCCGCCATTAACTTTCGTTTTTCTTTGACATACCATGTCTAGTAAAATTTGTTATCACTAAAGCAAACAAACATCGATTTTTATATGTATATATAGTGTATTATGAACACAATCTAAAAAAACTACTCACTTTGATAGTATCAATATACTTCACCTCTCTAACGCTATTTAATGGCCAAAAGGGGCCACCATTATCTCGTTCCTGTTCAAAGAAACTAATTAGAGACACAACGAGTTTCTGACTCTGACTATTCAATGACTTTGGCATTTTATAAATACACAAATAGAAATAATTTCAAATTATTAAAATCAGTAACCGCAGATTTGCAGCAATATTTGGCAACATAACCCATGAGTGCCAAACTGAATGTCATTTTATCGGCCGATTCGGTTAAATGCCAACAGTGTTTTGTCTTTTTTTAACTAAGGTTAAATAAAAAGGAGAATGAGCTCTCAGCTTGAAACGAATTTTAATTTCTTACAAACTGCAATTGGCAATAATTTCGACGACATTGATCACGTGCATACACTGTTTAAATAATTTCACTATACTTTACGTGTAGATAATGTAGACAATGTAGACAACGTGTCAACAATGTAAAATAATATAAATGACGTTTAATTCTAACCTCACACTTTCCTTTTTTTTAATTATTTTTATTTTATTATTGGTTTTTCTGATACTTTATAATCAGTGAATGCCAATATCGAAGTAATAGTGATAGTATAGTAATTTTTGATATTTTTTTTCGATTTTTTTAAAATAAGTTATTGTTTACGCCGCATGTAGGCAATGTGTAGACAAATGCTCACTCACGTAGACAATTCGAATTGTCTACGCGTAGACAATCAATTGTTTACGTTGACATTGTCTACAGGCACATCACTGGGGGGCGCACGCACTAGATTTGTACCGTTCCAGTATCATGACGTGAGACGCCTGTCTTAAGTGTCAAATATGTCAAATTTTAAAAATGATTAACTGTTTGTTTGTGCAGTTTGTTTTTTTATTTATCATAAATGAAAGAAAATCAAAACTATATTTTTTAAAATGTTCAATCTTGAGATATAACTAGAAATAAATAAATAAATAGCCACCCACGGATGTGACAGCTGACACGTTGACGTACGCACGTACAGCTCGGGAGCTCAACGCCCCGAGTATACTCCCATACTGGAAAGCGGCTGGAGCGAGCTCTGGCCGTTTAAATCAGGAGATTTTTACCGGACAACACCCCGAACGCACACTTTTGGACCTCATAAAATAGCAAGATAAAACTTATAACGCATGCGCGTTTGTGCTTTAACCTTGAATATTATAGTTACTGCAAGGTAATTAATTTCTTTTTTGTGGATTTTTTTATGAGGAACTTATGGCCATTTCCACCAACTATTTTAGGGGAGCCCTAACGATAGGTACGCCCAATGAACTATAACCAAAAACTGGAATGCTAACACATAAGGACGAACGTGAAGCCTACTGCAGCTGCTGCCGAGGGGATACCTGTTTTTGTCGCACTCATTATGTTAAATGGCGAAAATTGCTTCCCACACGTATTCCAATCGATGAAACCTGTGAAGGGAAATATGACAAAACTTTCGAAAACGTCATATGACAGCGAGCAACAGAAAAAAACAACATTCCCCCTTGTGGCTTCATGGCTTCATTTTTTTGGCAGATATGGCACTAGTTGTATTCCTTTCAAGAGTTTGAAACACTCGAGCTACTCGCTCAGGTGTTCAAGAGCCCCCAATTTGCAGGGAACAGATGCGTGGTGCAACAAACACTTTTCGAAAGGAATAGGGGCGTGAAGCCCCGGAGCTGTTCCGGAGCTCCTCCTAGGTATGAAAGGAATACAACTAGTGTGTGCGCATTCCAGTTTTTAGCTATAATTCATTAGCCCTTTTCACGTGACTCCGGTTTAACAAACCGCAACATACCGCTCAAATTCGAGTGGTATCGAAGATGTCACTATTGTAACCGGGTTAGAAAACGGTATGTCATTTCTCTAACCGCCTCGGCGATATGGTTACGTCAAGCGGTTAGAAGAAAAAAATATAAACAACGGAGAGCGGGAAAGTTCGGAAAAGTATAAAAACTAAATAAAAAGTTGTGTATTGTATATATTATCATATTTCATGAATTTGAAGCCCGAAAGCCGTTTTCCCTTTTATACAGCCTGATTTACGTAGACCGTGCATTAGAAATTGTTCAGTTTGCAGGTGGATTAGCATTAATACCACCTAATCTACCTGCTAATGCACGGGGACTACGTAAATCACCCTGTATTATATACTCAAAAGATGTACCAGAGACAATCCCAGTTTACCTACTTGCTTGATGGGCTGTTGTAGACTGTAGGTAACGAGAACTTATAAACTTTAAATAGACTGGTTCTACTAGGTCTATCCACCCATGGTCCACATCTTAAGCATTGAACGAAAAGACATTATTAAACTACCTACTTTTCACTTTTTAGCTTGCTGTAATAAAAAGGAATGAAATACTGGATAATTCCACAATTTTGAAAAAAAAAAAAAAAGGTTCCCATATTTCTTCACATATTAATTAATTGTGAATTGCTCACATTTAAGATATATTTGTCCGAAGTAGACATATAGGTATGTAGGTCAGATTTAACGGCACTGACGAAAATATTGAAAAATCAAAAATTAAAAGCATAAAACAAGTTAAACACCTATACCTAACCTCAAATCGAATTTAAAATAACATTTTTCTAACCGTTCCGTTTTCAAGTGGCATTTTCAGTGATGTAGACACTTGACATACCGCCTCTAACCGTTTTGTAGCCCGGTTAGTTTAAACCGGAGCGACGTGAAAAGGTGTAAGGGGTACGCCTTAGGGCGAGTATTATAAAACTACTTTGAGAGTTAACTTAAAGTTAACTTCTGAAAATACATGTAATTCAAAAAGTTAACTTTAAGTTAACTGTCAAAGCAGTTTTATAATACCCGCCCTTAAACTGACATTTCTCCATGTAAAAATATCATTTTAGGGAATACTTATCGTTAGGGCTCCCCTAAAATAGTTGGTGGTAACGGCCATTAGAGAAGGCACAGGCATCATCACTACTCTACCCTATTAAAAAAATGGTGGCCTCTTTTTTTTTTTTTTGGTAAAGTTTGTGCTGCTAAACTGATAGTAATCACTAGCACAACGGCGTCTCCCGAAAATGTTTCCTCCTCATCATTCTTCATATGTGAAAAAATTCACTATGGCTTCTTCCATATTATTTATTTTTCAACAAATTGAAAAAAAAAAGAACGACAAAAATTGCTAAAATCTCAAGAGATGAAGATTGCGATCTTGACGGTTCAGATTAGGTGAATCGACGGACACACTCGGAGTACATCTAAACGCGCCCTCCATGAAAAAAGTGTAGTAAAAAAAAAGACGTATTTTAGCGACCAGTGAACATCATACTACACATAGGTCCGGTTTCTCAATAGTTGTATTCCTATCACACCTAGGAGGAGCTCCGGACCAGCTTCGGGGCTTCACGCGCTTATTCCTTTCGAAAAGTGTTTGTTGCATTACGCATCTATTCCCTGCAAATTGGGGGCGACTAAACACCGAAGCGAGTAGCTCGAGTGCTTCAAACTCTTGAAAGGAATACAACTATAAGCGAGTCACCCCCGGGTTAACAATAGGTCTGTTTCTGCAGAAATCACAAACCAATCAGAGCGAATTCCATTGGTCGAAAACAGTCAGAAACAGTCAGAAAACTAGTTTCAACCAATGAAATTCACTCTGACTGGTTTGTGATTTCTGCAGAAACAGACCTATTAACTCCAGGGTAAACATAGCAACTGGACACGCTTACCCTGGAGCTAAAACCAACCCAGTGGTGACTCGGTATTGAGAAACCGGCCCATACTACGATTCATGACGTCATAGTTACCACAAATGACAAGTTTCATGATGACAGCTGGAGTATATTTAACAAAGGGTCTAAAAGAGAACGCCATCGTTGCAGTGGCGGTTCGCCCATATGGGCAAGGTGGGCTCCGCCACCCTGGAGAAAAAATGAGAAAATAGAGAGATATCGGTAACCCGAATAGTATCATGCAGTATTAGCGCCTACGTTATTTTGACATTAAACCTATGCGCGATTCGATTTTTAACACTACGTACCAAAATAACGTTACCGCATCACGTAATTTACCCAGCATTTACGTTAAGCGCTATTTCGAATAACGCCTAAAAATAACGCAGTGGAATAAAATAGGTTATGTTATGTTTATTGTTTTTGTTTATTTTATTATTTTTGTTATGTTCAAGTGAATATGGATTGTTCAAAAAATAGTAAAAAAGCAAATCCTCTGTTCCTGATCATAAACAACAGACGACACAAATCAAATCACTACAAGGTACAAGTTAGGCTACGGTTTTAAAATAACGGATGCGAACAGGCAAATTTTACGTTAAACTGTTTTCCGATAACTCTAATTTGAAAGTATGATACCGCTTTACTTTAAAAAAATAACTCCTGACGTTATTACCGTCCATACGCGCTATCTGTTTTACCGATATCTCTCTAATAAAAAATGCTTTTAATACAATATTTGAGAAGGCCGCGAGCTTGGAAATCTAAAAAAAATTCGCCTACGGCTGTTTTTTTATTTTTGTCGCCCCGCCTTATTTGGACACCACGAGCCGCCACTGCATCGTTGTTTATTTGGGTTTGTTGAATTCAAAATTTTGCGTTTTCGAGTTTCATTATTATTTCTCTAGTGAAAATTTCCGATAGATTTTGGAATTTTTGAATTTTATGGAGACCTCCATGACAAAAAAAGAAAAAAAAATACACTTTTGTGCACAAACGAAGATTTTTTTTGCAAAAAACTCACAGAAAACAGAAAACCATGGCAAAATGGGGAAAAACAATCATCTATTTATAATGGAAAGACCTGTGTCGGTAATCGTATAGTCAGCTATTTGACCCATATGCTCATTTTCGTGTATTAGAAAAAGATGTACTGACATGCACTGACATACTACAACCAGTAGGTAACTATCATCCCTCGTAGGATGGTTACAAGATTCCTGAAGTTCATACGTTGCCTGGTAATGGGTAACTTGATGATGTATCTGGGGTGCCTTATGGAGATTTGCATTATGTTAAGGCACCCCAGACGACGCCATAAAGTTATCAGGCAACTTACCTCTCTCAAACAACCTTGGGATGGTTACATGTTTACAACCGAGTTTCATGTTGTGACGTATGTCGGCCATAATCGCTAAAATGTAGTATCCCAAGTATACAACACACTACTGGGTTAAAACTCTCGCTAAAATACGCCATGTAAGCTACTACTAGAAGAGCAAATCTTTCTTATCTGGGTTCTAAATAGTGGAGTCTACATCTGCTCCAAGCACATGTAAACCCCCTTGTTCACACATCTAGGTTCCGCGCTTGGGACTCGTGGAGAACTAGTGTAGTTAAATGGCCATTTCCACCAACTATTTTAGGGAAGCCTTGATAAGTATTCCTTAAAATGACTTGATTCCAACTTCAATATGGATGTTTTCCTGAATTGATTTCAGCATGGAGTGCCTTGGTTGTTGGGTTGCACTAAATTATCGAAACGAAACCATCAGTTTGACAAGTTTGATGTTTTTATTAGGGCAAGAACTATTTTTTGACAATTGACATTTTGGTAATAAAGGGCGCTTTCTTTTATTCAGCGGTGGATCCATCGGTAATCAGCCTCTCTTTGTCTAGCTCATAGAAAATTGGAATTTCTGTCTCATAATGCTGGCAGCAGATGGATCCATTGCTGAATAAAAGAACGCGCCTAAACAATGGCGATAATGGAATAGTATGTTTTCCGACTTTTCTGAATAAATTATTTATTTTTTTATTATGATTTTTCATGGATCCTCGGTCATATAAAATATGATTGAGGCGCACATTGACAATAAACAATATAAATATGTCGTTTTAACATATCAAAAAAGTTAGTGTTACCTACGTTTTTACAAAGAATGTGAAAGATGGCTTCAAATTCCTACAGGTATTAAATCAATATTTTATTTTAAGTCACACCCTTGGTATAAAAACTGATTTCAGGGTGGAATGGGTGGAAATAATAGAGCCCAAAACTCAGGAGCATATGTATGCCAATTTGGCTACAGGAGAATGTGTATGGGATCCTCCTGAAGGTGTTCCTGTAAAGCGTACAGACTCTAACCAGTGGTGGGAACTTTTTGATCAAAATACTGCTAGGTTTTACTATTATAATGCTACGTCACAAAGAACAGTTTGGCACAAGCCCTCCAACTGTGACATTATCCCTTTAGCCAAATTACAAACTTTGAAACATAACACTGACTGTAGTCCAGCTGTTACAAGTAATCAGGCTACACAAACCGGCCATCCCTCTGAGAGAGGACAGGCATTAAGCTTGTCTGCTAGCACTCCTCAATTACGCCGAAAACCAAGTGACTTATGTAGAAGCAGTAGTTTCAGCCAAAGAGGCGCAGAGGCCCCACTATATTCAAATTGGCATGACTCTCATCTACTACCTTTAGAACATTTTTTACTTAATAATAGCAGAGAATCTGATAGTGATCATTCAGATAGCGGAAGTGAATCTTTGACTGGTATGTTAACTATGTTTGACCTATTTATTGGAATTAGAAGATTATGCACGTTTATCCCAACCTTTAGTGCATGCATGTTTTCTGCACAGATTTCGATGGCATTCCTGAATTTTGATTTAAGGTATTTACATTTATTGTTTCTACCAATTATGGTAAATTGCCTTTGTCTAACTAAAGTTAAATTAGCAATACTTACATAGGGTTTTGGAACAATTGCAGGTAGGTAGTGATGTAAAATGCTCGAGCAAGTATTTTAGGAGAACGTTCTCTGAGCAGGATCGAGAATAAACGAGCAAAAACGAGCAGGACCCGAGAATTTATGCTTTTTATCAGAAGCTGAATAAAACAAAACATTTTTCTAAATAAATTCTGATTTTTCTCAAATTTCCCGAAATTCCCAAATTTCTCGTGAAAGTTCTGAATATTCTGAAAATTCCTGATAAATGTGCTGAAAGTTCTCAAACTTCTTAGGAAAATATACCTACTTAATACATAATTAATCACATAATTTGTGAATTGTGTCTTGTGTCATGTTTGATAACAATAATATTATTCTAATTTGGGGTTTTCTGTGAAACTTCAACATACAATTATCATTAGGATTCTTTTTTTTTTTGATAATAAAATAAAATAGTGATTTTAGATTGAGTATATGTATTCCAGTACAACGCTACCTTTGCCTCCAAAAAAAAAATAACTATTGCTGCTAAGTTGCTTCCTGGTTCTCGGGCTCAATATTCAATATATCTTCGCCTTCAACAGCTTCCATAAATATATCTCTACTCTATGGCGTCATGTGATTTTATTGGTTAGGATCGTACTTGAGAACGTGCTGAATATTCTCTATCGTGCTTATTGTGCTCCGAAGGTAATATTCAGCACGAACCTTTTTTTCGTGCACGTACGTTCGCGAATGTTCTCGAAAGCACAATCAGAACGTTCCCTTGTTCACATCACTACAGGTAGGTAACATAATAGGTGAAATAAATGTTAAATAGAAATATTTTTTTTGGGTAATTAGTGCTTAAAAAAAAATCACTACAATTTTATCATAATGGTTTCTAATTTTCAGTAGGTACAACTACTAACCATACTGACCTAAATAACTCTCTTGTTATAAAAGGCAAAACATGTAGGTACTTATTTAATAGAATATTAGATAGGTAGACATTATTTTTTTCCCAAAATCCTAATTTGCTTATATTTTATTTAATCCCGAGATTAATCCTTTGTACTCTGTACATATTTACTACAAAGAACCATATAATTTGAAATAAAATATTCTACTGATATTTGGGCGAGTATTTGAGTCGAGATTTGAGTTCATTATATTACAGAATATAACAACATGCATGTGTGCATACATGTTGTATTTATTTAGTCATTTTTTAGCACAATATACTAATTCTACTTTACAATACAGGGTGTAAAAAAAAATTGTGTACCGGACTTCGAGAGGTGATACTACGTATGAAAATAAGAAAAAAGTTCCTATGAACATATTATGCCCTAAGATGCTCCCTGAAGAAGTTACAGCCCTTCAAACGGTAGATGAAAATAATAGATTTTATTTAATTTCAAGAACAGTGGCAAACTATTTTCCTTGAAATTTGGTATTATGGCATACATTCTGATGCCAAAGCGAATGGTGATAGTAAATAAGTCTTAACAGTTCTGAAAGGGTAGTTTCTATAAGGGTAAAGAGTTGTTACTTGCAAAACAAAAAAGCATCTCAGGACATATGGTCATAGGAACTTTTTTTCTTGTTTTCATATGTAGTATCACCCCTCGTAGTCCAGTACACAATTTTTTTCACACCCTGTTGACCCTGTACATACCAGCTTATTCCAAAAAATTAAACAACAAAATACCAAAAATATCATTTAAACCATAGACTACAAATCCAGTCATCCATACAATAAAGTTCACAATTAAAAAAAAAATCAACCAAAGAACAACCATCTTAAGGGACATATATAGGTACATCATTTTCTCTCAGCAAGTAATCTTTCAGCTGTGTCCTAAAACTATACTCGATATGACCCATTGAATCACATGTTTTTATATCAAATATGCGAGCAAATATGTATCTTCATATTGTTGAAGTCAAACAAATCATGCAGGTATCATTCAAGAATATGGTTAAAAAACTGTTTATTTGTTTATTTAATGATTACAAACACCAGGAATTGGTGATTACAAGTAATGGCAGGAGGAATATAACTACACTAAACTAAACCTAAACTAAGCTGAATAAACAGTTACATAATAATTGCATTATTGACTCCAATAATATAGGTACAAGTTTGGTCCTTGAGGTTTTTGTGACTTCTCAATTAATTGAATGGAAACATTTTTAATACTTTCAGTTTATAGCTGCTTTGTTTCCTGTTTTGTTTTTTTCTAAGTTAACTTTTGGAAAACATTTATAGTTTTTTTAAACCTAATTTCCATGCTCTTTGTGTTGCCAGGTTACCAGTACATATTAATAAAATCACTTCTAGTTTTGTTCAAATGGTTTTTGCTTCTGGTCTATAATAGGTTGCATTATAATTTTTTTCCATCATGATTATAGATTATTCAATGCTGTTGAGTCTTATTATCGAACTTGTATATTAGTGGACTGTATTAATTGTTAGGCCTGGTTCAGCCAATTCTATCATTAGAATAAATAGAACAATTCCTTTCATTCAAAAAGAATAACTGATTTGAAATAATTATTATGACTTCAACCTGAGAAACTTGAAAAACATAATGTAAAAAAATTGGAATAACTGTAGCGCCTGCTCGCATCTGTACTGTGCAAAATTTTCACGAGTACTGAGTCTTGGATACTCTTGGAATTTATTCGCCCCAACACCCTGCTGTACCTGGTACCCGATGCAACGCCCACGGCACCACACTACCTCTTGAAAGTTTTATTTGCTTTTTTTTATCTGGATGCCATGTCCTAAAAAATAATGAACAAATACGAATCAGCAGCATTACCTTAAAATATTATTTAATGTATCCCTCGAGATTTCCCTTGTCTAACATCTCTAATCTATCATTTTAAACATTTTTATACTCCATTAGATAGAAAGCTGCTAATGCTACAAATAATAGTATTTTACTCGGTATTTTATGAGTATATACCTACTACTACAAGACCCTAACACCCTCCTCATTAGAAATCAATGATGTCGGAAGTTTTTGAAATCGCAAAAAGTTCAAAAATAATAAATAACTTCTGTTTTATGTATACAATGAATGGATGTAATATGTTTCAGAGCTAGGCAAATACATATTTATTAGTATGTTTTTATTTATAAAATTGTCCAAGATGTTCTCTAATGGATAAAGTAGGTATTATTGTTATTGTTAGCAATATCATCTTCTTTGTATCTTCTTATGTCACAAATCTGTAATCTAGTCATTTCCACCCTTCTCATAATAATAACTGTATGTACAGCATCTCAGTGCTGTGATACCAACTTTGCTAACGTTAGAGTAAATACTACAATATTTGAAGAACTTCAGGTATCTACTGAAAAAAGGGGTACTTCGAATTGCCATAAAGACTCTAATTTTTCAGAATATACTATCTTGCGCAACAACTTGAGCTTACAAGTTTTGAAGATAATACTACTTAGAAAGTACAATTCTGCAGCATTAGCAGGTACCTACATGACACAATGTGATGAATACACAATTTCTTAATATTCCACACCCTAACTGAAAAAATTAGCAGCTGTAGAATTGTTCAGTCATGTCTGTGGCATTCATATATTAGTGATTGAAAAAGTTTTTTTATAAGTAGAGATCTAATTTTGTACAGGTGCAATAGTAGTCATATGTTAATTATAATAATAATTTCTGTGTACTAAATTAGTATATTCATCTACAGAATCAAGGGAATAATTATTAAAAATTTTATTTTGAATCTTTTGAAGGTCATGAACCTGATAATGAAGATTCAGACCAATCAGAAGGCAGCTACTTACCTCATAGGCTCTCTCATAGACAAGTGGAATACCTCAATTTGCCCACCGGTGTTACAGCAGGTAGTGTATTTATTGGAACAATGTGATAACTTCTTGTATAACTTATATTATTTTTTTAAATGCTAGAACGAACAGAACGCGAAAGGGAATGTCCACCTACTCCACTTCTTAAGCCTCTTGCCGAACCTCCCTTACAACCTGAAAGAGAGGCTGATATGGAAAAATTCGCTGCTGATAATTTGAATCTAGGAGGTAGGGGCTTGTTTAGAAGGAAGGCCAGTGTCCGAGATCTGCTTAGTTGGACACAAAGGAGCCTCCAGAGGCCTCTATTAGCATCTAGTAAGCCTGTGTACAAACAAGCTTTGGAAATGTTCAGGTATGTACACAGTCAACCACCATAAAATGATAACTATATTTTTTCAATGTGGAAATTCTACCAGGAGTTTCATAGATGTAGCTTATAAACACGCCTATAACTTTATTTTTGTTTTCTTCTAAATTCCGACATTTTGGTAGCACATATCAATGATAGATTGGCATACTTGGATAACAATTAAATCACTTTTGGTAGTTACCCAAGTACTATTCATTAATTCACTGCAAAAAAAAACTACTGTAAAACCAAAACTATAGCACATAGACTACAATCACAGTATCATGTACTTTACATACCTACTTTGAAAAAATGGTTGAGGAAAGGACAATTTATGTAGTTCTGACATCACAAAATCAGCGCAAATTGGTGAACTTTCTAATAATAGTGTAGGTTTTTCACTGATTTTAAAATTTGACATTGTCCTATACCACAACTCATATGCACTGAATTTTAAGTAGAAATGGAATGTACTTCCAAACTGACCATTCTAAAGTCATGTTATATTGTTCTACTTATAGACATAAGTATATTATGTATTTGATTCGTTTATTGAAATAACTTTTTTCTACTACCGTGCGTAAAGTACTCACTTTACGCACTATTCAGAAGATGTAAAATTTCACTTCACGCACTAGTGCGTAAAGTATTTGTCCAAATTTATTTTTTTACACATATTTGATTGGTAGTAGAAAAAATTATGCATGCAATACGTGCGTAAAGCACCTTTTTTCACTCATGTGATTGTCGCACGCGCCTTCGGTTCGTGCGTCATAATTCACATTTGTGAAAAAAGGTTCACTTTACACACTTGTTGCATAAATAACTATTGTGGCAGTTAAAAAAAAAGGTGTGTAGAAAAAACTTTATTAACTATAACATTTATAATTACTATTTGTTTCAATTTTCAGTTTTCAAGATAGACAAAAAACAAAATTACTATTAGATTCTTTGCCATTCATGCTTAATAATTTATTTTGAAAATAAATGTATTTGTAAATTATTATTTTTATATTTATGAGTATATATATTTGACTTTTCAACTAAAAACTAATTTTGGGAAAATTGAAAGTTTTGAAAGCCTTTCCTTTTAAAAAAGCTCTCACAAAACATGGAAATTTGTAACATTTTTATGATTTATGATTAGGAAACTCTATTCTCATAAGAAGCTGTGGGAAAATAGCGCCTTCATACATATACCTGCATTTAATGGGCTCTAAATTCACAAACCTAATTTGATAGGAATTTTAAATTTCCTTTTATACTGTTACAGAATGACTGAGTTATGATGGAACCCCCAGTTTTATTTGATATTTTGTTCAGTTTAAAAAAATAAAAAAATAAAACGAGAAAGTTAATTCGATTGACGCATTTATTTATTTTTTCAGGCAAGTGCAGATGTATATGGGAGATCGCAAGGCCCGTCCAGGTATATCTCTGAATTCTCTTCTAATGGAAATCTTGGGTACTGCTCACTTGCAATCTTTGTTGCGTGACGAATTATTTGTTCAGTTATGTAAACAAACTACTGAGAATCCTAGAAGAGAGTCACTGTTGCGTGGTTGGGAATTGTTAACCATCGCTCTCGCGTTTATACCTCCTAGTCCAGTGTTCCAGCCTGCTTTGTTAGGGTACCTGAATAGGCATAGAGATCCTACATTTTCGCGCGTTTTTCCTGATGTTAACCGATGGCCTATACATGTACAGGTAAACTGATTTTGGTACATATTTATGAATTTCACACATTCATCAGCAAATCAGAAAAATAAATTATTTATTATGTAGTATTTGCGTATTTGCCTTAATGTTTTCCCTTTGGGATCTCTTTTGCAAATAGTTCCTACCAGGAATTTGAAAGTGATCACTTTAAAAATAACTTTATTCAGAAAAAGCAATTAACAATTTTTTTTAATAATAATTTGAAAATCTTTCAGTTATCCTAATATTATTAGAGTATAAGGCAAATTTCATACAAAACAGTGATTTCTTAAGGTAATTAAAAAAAAACCCTAGCTCTCGCCTTTAAAATAGTATTTGTTCTTTCAGCTTTCCCCATTATTGAGTTTTTTTTCTGTGATTTGTGTAATAAAAAAAAAACATCAAATCAATCAAATAGGTTATAACTGTGGTTAATACCACAGCCTCCTACATTTAACAAGCCATGAAGTTAAAAAGGCAACACCGCAATCTTACCGCCAAGTGGTGCTGGTGGTGTTTGTTTGTATAAATATATATTTTTTATTTTATTAATATGAATCACAAAAAATGCATAATTTATTGTACTAAAGGGCCAAAAACAGTAATTCAATGAATAATTTAACTATTTGTGTAAATAAGAACAGTAAATAATTGATTTAAATGAATATATTTCTAGAGTCTAAAGGGTTATGTTTCAGTATGTCTTTTCAAAATCTAACTTTTTCTTTCTTCGGGATTTTTTCGGAAGGAAGTCCATTCAAATACTTGAGCTGATTTTCGAAAATAAGAGGTACCTGGTACCTACTTTTAAGAGTTGGACGTTTTAGTTTGAACTCTCGAACTACGCCTTTATCCTTGTTTGTTTCAAATCTAATTATTTCGGTTTCTTCAAAATGCTTACAACACACCACAGAATTTTTCGTTATTGTATAATCTCGGGTATAATTATCTTGGTGTATTCCTTTCATCCACATTTTTTGCACTTCAGAATTTTTTTGGAAATAAAAATGTTTGCATTTCTTCAGTTTTTAAGGAACTCCTAATAGTTCGATTTGCACCCAGGAACACAGTAGTTTCATGGCCTCTGGAACAAGTTTAAATATCTTAGGTAATATATCGAGACCTCTTGCAGACAAATATTAATATTGTTTTTATTGTTTTACCTTACCTTACCTTCATTTTTGCTCCTGTACTCATTTGCTAAAAATTAGCAATCAAAGCACAAAGGAACAGGTATCAACTAAATATGGGCAATATATTGGTGTGATTCTATCCACTTTTTCGTCAATAATGCCCATAAAAATACTAAATTGCAACAATACACAATGAAAGCAATACACAGAAACAAAATAGCACCATACGCGACGTTGCCGTCATTTCCAACTTCATGGCTTGTTAACTATAGGAGGCAGTGTTAATACCTTTCAGTTAATACCGATGTGTTCCAGTGATCTGTGTCTTTTCACATCAAACCATAACCTTAGTGAATAAAGCAACTGAAATTTTTGTTATTGGCTTTTTGATTGCTGGATTTTTGTCATGTCTTCTAGATGTCTTTTTTTTTTAGGTCAATCACTATGCTACAGTAGCGTGCCAGCGTTTAGAAAGAATTGGTGCAGGGGGCAAACGTACAGCTAAAAGGCCTCAAATGGACGACATAGAGTCAGCTAGAAAACAAATATTCCAAGCTAGTCTTTTTGGGAACACTTTGAGGGAGGTGATGCAGCTTCAGTCAGGTAGATGGCCCAATAGAAGGTTACCTTGGCCACAAGTCGAGCTTTCCATGCAAGTTTTAAAACTGCAAGGACTTCAAACTGAAGGAATATTTCGCGTGTCAGCTGATGTAGATGAAGTTAACAGATTAAAAGGCCAAATGGATAAGTGGGAACTTAGTGAACCAAGTGATGCACATGTCCCTGCAAACATGCTAAAGTTATGGTTAAGGGAACTCTATGAGCCATTAATTCCCGATTCGCTCTATCCTGAGTGTGTGGCCGAACCTATGACTTCTAGACGAGCTTGCGATTTAGTCCTGCGTTTACCTACCCTGCATAGATTAGTATTATGTTATTTGGTTCGATTTTTACAGACCTTCAATAAACCCGACATTATACAGCATACCAAAATGGATGCTTCGAATTTGGCTATGGTGTTCGCTCCCAATTGTTTAAGGTGTATGGCTAGCGATCCCCGTACAATGTTTGATAATGCTCGTAAGGAAATGGCTTTTATGAGATGTCTTATACAAGACCTCGATACAGAATGTGTTCGAGATATGATTTGACCTCAGATTTTTCTTTGTATATTTATACTATTATTATAATTGATGTATAATTTTTTATTTTCAATAATAGAGATGCGTCTTGTGTTTTTTATTGTGCTTAATTCTAATTAATTTTCCCCTAACTTTCACCAGTCCCATAAATATTTTTTTTACCTTACAGCTGCTGAATGCCTCTGATTTCAAAAAATCAGATTCTCTACCGGACCTTATAATTTGCCAAATTCTACTGAAATTTAAAAAACTAAAAAAATTGTGTAGGTAAAGTGAGTGGTATGACTTCAAGGTAATAATAATGAGTGTTGATTCCTGATGATGAAATTCTACTTTTTAATTGTAGGCCGCTGGAGTTTACAATAAACAAGCAAACTTAAATTAAATAATATTGAATATTTCAGAGTACTTTGACAGAGTACTGACAGAACAATAGGCAGAGTTTAAAGAAGTAAAAGAACAGACACAAAACATAAAAACTGCAGGATCACCAATAGAAGTTATGCAAGAAGTTAAAAAACACTGTAGCTTCGTGAAAGATGGTAGGGCACCAGGAGAAATATATGGAGAACTGATAAAGTATGGGACCAATAAACTCTACAAACAGTCAACAAAACTATTTCAAACATGCATAGATGAACATGAAGTACCTGAAGAGTGGAAAATAAGCTATTTAACAACGATATATAAGAAAGGAGACAGAAACAAATGCGAGAACCATCGAGGAATTGCAGCAACAAATACGCTGTAAAAAAATAAATAAAGAACAAGTACAAAGATAGTGAGGCAAAAAACCAGGCCAGTTTTAGAGGAGGAAGATCAACTGTAGACCACTTATTTAGTTTGACCCAGGCAATGGACAAGAAATTAGGGTATAACCAAGAGCTCCATTTACTCTTTGTAGATCTAAAGAAATCATATGACATCTTTTGGTAGATCCATGAGGTGTGCACAGTTTGGGAGAGGAAAAGTTCTGCCAAGGTGCGTTTTCCTTTGTAGACCTATCTTCTCCAGTCTAAGACATGATCCACTGGCAACCCGCTTCACTATTAAGTGGAGTGGTGTGAGGTCTAGAATGACTTCTAGTGCCGCGGTTGGGCATGATCTCATTGCTCTTGTTATACAGAGATACGTACGTGATGATAGGTCTCACTATCATGGTATACATCCACACAATGTCCTGCTAAAAAAGCTTTGGGAAGCACTGGAAAAGGCCAATATCAGCTTATAAAGGCAGTAAAAACGCTTTCTAGTGATGACCAAGATTAAACAGGGAAACATAATCAGTAAAGGCTTCATAGCAACTAAAGAACTTAAACAGGGATGCTGTAAGCTTTGCAGATGACCAAGTATTGATTGCACAGGAATATGATGACACGAAAATTGATAGAGGAATACGAGAAATAGGGTTTGGAAGTAAATCCAACTTAAACAGAATATATGACTATAGGAGATGAACATCGAACTCTGAAATTGAATAACGGACAAGAAATAAAACAATGAACTGAATACAAATATTTGGGAATAAAATCTCACATCAGGGAACCCTAGACGAAGCAATTAAAGATCGGAATATACAAGGACGCAAGGCAATATCCCTACTAAATGGTGTAGTGTGGGATAAAAATATTAACAAAACTAGAAGATACAACACCATAGTCAAAAGCATAGTCACATATAGTTCAGAGGTCTGGCCACTAAAGAACAGAATCGCAAAAATGCTGGAATTAAGCAACTCGAATGGATTTTTGGAGGAGAGCGACAGGCAGGTCAAAAATGGAAAGGATAACAAATCTGAGAATTAAGGAGATTATGGACGAAAAACATACAATAGTAGATGATATAAAGGACAAACAGCTGATTTGGTTCGGACATGTAAAAAGAGTGGCAGATACAAGAATACCCAAGCAATTAATTATCGAGTGGAAACCAGGGAGAAGAAGAAGACGCGGCAGACCAAGAAGCTGGAGAAGTGGAGTAGACGAAGAAATGAGAGACAGAGGCTGCTTAGAGGAGGATGCCTGGATTGACAGAGATGCTTGGAGATCACCTTACCTCTTACCTGTGTACCTACGTTAGTGGAGCCCAAAAAAATCCTATTGATGTGGTAAAATTAGCAATCCTGGATATTACACCGAATGTTGTTGTGGCCCTCAGAATTTTATTAACATTTTCCATGACTCACTGTTGCAATTGGTGAGAAAAGTTTCTCTAAATTAAAATTAATTAAAACATAATTAAGATATATGGTCCAAAAAAGTATAAGCGGTTAGCGCACTAATGAGCATATGAAATCGGTGCTAAATTAATCGAAACTATTTTTAATAATATCCTTATAATTTTATTGAAAATGTACCTATACCTACCCTAATAGAGCAAAAGGTACGATGGACGTTTAAAACGTCGAAACGTCTGAGGAGTAAGATAGAACGTTTTATAAACGTTTTTAAAAATGACATAAAAAGACGTTCGAAATATATTCACAAAACTTCCATAAGCGTGAAATTCTGAAAACAAAGTTTTGGAAACTACTGTTGTAGGACGTTTCTAAAACTAACAACAGCAAACGTCGTTACAAATGTTTTTTTAAGTAACTAATCTCCATGTCAGAGTGATTTTTAAATAGGTATAAAAATAATGTTATTTAGACGTTTGATTTAAGTTGTTTTTAAAATGTCCGTCAGAAACAATCAAAGAACGACAGAAAGTTTTCTATAGGTTCTTAAAAGTATGTTTTCATAAAAGAGACGTTCTGTAACTATGACATTTGCACTACAAAATAAGTCTCTTTGGACGTTTTTGGATACTTGAAGTAGGTGAGTTTGGAGCAAAGTGGCCCCTGGGGGCAAAGTTTTTACTTTTACCTTTAAAATGTCCTATATTCCGATGACATATATGCGCGCTTCTAGGCTTAGTGATTTCTTTCTGGATACACAAGTAACTAAACTGCTGGACAAATGAAACGGAACAAGCGAATGTTAAGGTTAGCTTTAAATTCCAATATTACGCGAACTTAGGAAGATATCAATGAGCGTTTTGGGGAATTATCTTTTATATTACGCACACCGCTCATTGATTTCTTCTTTCGTTCGCGTAATATTGGAATCCAAAGTTGAACTAAAAATTCCCTTGTTCCGTTTCATTTGTCCAGCAGTTTAGTTGCCTTCCAGTTGCGATCAGATACGCACACGTTTTTTACGGCAAGTGAAAAGTTTTGAACCACGTGCTTCTGATATTCAAAGGTAAGTAAACTCTAAGTCTAAGTATACCCACACTTATGTGAATAGTTTTTTGAGCATTACACCTTTTTTGAATAATATGTTAAGGCGGTTACACACGGGCGTGGATGCCTTAATACATATACGTACATACATCAACGTGCAAACAACAACGTGCATGTCGCGTTTATACAGACGCTCGCACAAAACTGCAGTCTTGCTATTCTTGCTTCAGTAATCCGAGTGTGCATACAAAATTTCTAGCGATTCCACATTCAAAAACGCGACGATATTTTGCATACACATTGATGTTTTTGTTTGCGCGTTCATGTATGTGCGTACATGCTTTCCGACATCCACGTCCGTGTGTAACCGCCTTTATTAACATGTCTGTACAAGCAATGGAATGAGAAACAAATGTGATTTTTTATTTATTTGAATAATCTTTCGATGCATGTTGGACACTTCGGAGACAAATAAAGTTTTACAAGAAAGCCAAAGCAACATCGAAAAAGTTGTTGGAACGATTTAGACCTGTTTTTTCCGCAGAACAAGATAAGGAACTGGCTGATTTTATCTTAGAGATGGAAAGTAGGCTTTTTGGCTTTGGCACAAGGGAATTGAGACATCTTGCTATCCAATTTGCGGAAAAAATAATATTATTGCACACACCTTCAATGAAGTACTAAAGGTCTGGCAGGGCGTGATTGGATCTACGGGTTTCTAAACACGAATAAAAATATTTCTTTGAGACTAACACAATACACATCAGCAGCAAGAGCTTCCGCGTTTAAAAACTGCAACGTAAACTCATTTTTCACTCTTTTGGAAAAAATGCTGGAAAAATACAAATTTCTACCCAGTAAAATTTTCAATTGCGACGAGACAGGTATTTCCACGGTAAGTACCAAATAGGCCTTCAAGAATATTCTCCATGAAAGGCAAAAACTCGGGCAAAAAGCAAGTTGACAGTCTTTTTTCCGCTGAAAGAGGCACTTTAACAACAGCCGAAATATGTTTCAATGCTGCTGGATTTCAGATTTCGACTCCGCTGATATATCCGAGAGTGAGAAAGTGTCTAGCACTTGAGCAAGGACTTCCCCCGGAATCAATAGTCGAATATCTTCCGTCTGGGTGGATGCAAAGTGAAATATTTTCAGAAGCCTGGCTCGAACGCTTCACAAAATATTCCAAGCCTACTGAGACTGATCCGCTGTTATTGGTTTTCGACGAACATAATGCTACACACACAAAAAATATGAAGTTGGTCGAAAAAGCAAACAAAAATCATGTTCATATTATAGTAATACCGCCACTTGCCACACACATCTCATCGTCTACAGCCCCTAGATGTAGCCTCCATATTTCCTCTTAATTTATACTACCAACAAGAGACAAACAAAATGGCTTATTAATAACCCTGGAAAGGTAATAAATTTGTATCAAGTTGGAGAACTTTTTGGAAACGACTAAAAAAGCGCAGCAGCCACACAAAATGCGATTAACGGATTTAAAGTTACTGGAATTTGCCCTTTTGATCCGGATGTGTTTCCAGAAGATTTATTTAAACCGGCAGAGGTCACAAATAGGGCACTAAATGAAGAACGGCCATTAACTCCTCATCCCCAGCAACAACCCGATAATCTTGAAATGAATTACTCTCCACAACCAGCTTCCTCCAGCGCTAGAACTCCGTCTCGCATGATTCCCAGAGTGCTAGCTAGAAACCCACAGTCCACATCAACTATTTCACCGAAAACCAATATTGAAAACTTATATTATTCACCAAAAGACATATTAGACCTACCAAAAGTAGGCGAAGCAACTGCTCCGAAAAGAAAAATAAGGAGAGGAGAGACGATGGTGCTCACATCAACCGCTAATTAT